TCAGCTCATCACAGAGAAAACCCAGCAGAGATCTCCCATGAACAGGAAGCACTGGGGCAGTGAAGGGCTCTTGGGGCAGGTGAACAGCACCATGCTAACCAGTGAGTGGATGGCAGAGCCTGCTGCATTTTAGGATAACCAAAACAGGTAGATGTGGCCCTTAGGGACATGGTTTAGTGTCAGTGTTGGGTTTGTGGTTGGACTTGATCTCAGAGGTGTTTTCCAACCGAAAAGATTCTGTGATTGTAAAAACACAGCAGAGAGCCCCAGCTCCTTGAACATGTGCTTCCAAAGCTGCTGTTGTCTTCCAGCAGCTCCGGATGTTAGCTAATGACAGCAATTAGACATCATCTCAAGGCAGCCAGCAGCCTGAGCTCCTGGGCTGTGTGTTTGTCTTGGGGGACTCTTGGGAAAAGTAAGACAAGCCCATGAGCAAAGGAAAAACCTCCTCCCAGGCCTGAGTGAAAGCCCCAGCAAACTCCTTCTTGGCTGCCTCCACCACCCAGGAATGCACCTTGGCCTGTGGAGGGACTGTGTTCCTGTGGCTCCAGGGATGAGAGATGCTCTGAAAGACCATAACATGTAATCAAAAACACTGACCTGTTTCACAGAGGCTTTCAAGTCTGTCAAGCAGGGCCTTGCTCATGCAGGGCCAACTCAGCTTCTCCTGAGCAATGAGTGAACCTTTCAGCCTCCTGCTCCTCTTGCCTTAATTACTGCTGAGGAGGTTTTGCAAGGGTTTCAGAAGTCATTTGGACTGATTCATTTGGCTTTGAGATGTTTATGAGATGCTGGCTGTTTAGAAAGTGCTGAAATTTGTCCCCTAAGGATCTGCCTCCTTTAGCACCAGGCAGTTTAAATCACCAGTGACTGATTTAAATCACCAGATGTCTGAAGCACAGTTTAGCACCAGTATCAAGGTTTGAAACTATCAATTCTGGCAAAGACTGCGAGCACTTGATATAATGAAATAACCTGGTTGGCTCAGCTCAGAACATGCTGTTTCTTCCAGAAAACAAAAAAAATCCCAAACAAATCATGTACCTTAGCTTCCTTTTTCACCAAACACAAGTGATTACACTGCAGAGCAGTTGTGGCCAGTGGAAAGAGGGTCACAGACAATGTCTCTGTGATGGCTAGACCATGATGGCTAGAATAATGTTAAAATAAGACTTTAATATTTCTGTTCAATAATGATTGAGTGTGGTTGGTTGTTAACTGATTTTGCATGGGTTTTGGGTGCAAGGACTGGGAATGTGTTTATTTAACCTGTCCTTGAGTTACAGTCATGAGGTGAAGAGTTTATATTTCCCCAGGCATGTCACTAGTACATTTAGGTAAAAAAATATTCAAAGCCATCATTTTTTAAGGAAATCTCTTAGTGGTTCCATAAAGCTGAGCAGGATCTGTGCTTGGTACTGGTAGGCAGAGCCCTGTTAACTGGAGCGATCCTGATTCACCCCTGCTGAGGAGCCCATCAGGTGACCAGGCTGTTGCTATATTCAGAACCCATTTGGACTGTTTTGAATTTTATGCTTTCAAAAATAAGGAAATAAAGCAATTAGAAACAAATAACAGAAGGAGAGAGCACTTCACCAAAGACAGCCAAAGATTATAGTGTGGCATAATTAATACAGGGCTGGCAGCAGGTAAAATGGGCTGTAACAACCACACTGCCCCCAGCAGAGAGGCTGCAGCCTGAGCTGCAGATGTCAAGTGCTCAAATGGCCAAGAAGCTCCTCTTGCCACCCAGCACAGTCTGGCCTGAGAATGCCCAGCTGTGGTACAGAAGGAAATAAAAGCATCCTTCAGAGCTGGGATGATATGCATGTTCCTGCCAGTCCTTCACTGTGTGTCAGCCAGAGGATTTATTCAACTGAAAACATGCTCCCACAACAAAAGAGAAAGGGAAATAGTGTAACCAGAAAGGCAGGTGCTTTTTTAAGGGAAAAATCCAAGGATGTCCTAAGAGGAGAACTGGGTTAAAAATAACAGGGAGTCTGCTCTGCCAGAGAAAGAATGAGTGGGCTTAAAGATAGGAGAGGCTGCACAGGAAAGGAGTTATCTACTTCTTGAGTGTTACTCATTTTAATTTGCCTTGTTACATGTCTGGAAGCACCAGGTGGAAATCAGGGCTTCATTGTGCTGGGAATTGAGCACAAACATAATGATTAAATGTTGCCAGCTCTGCAGAGATTGAAATATAATTCCTCATCTCTGCAGAATCACTAACCAGCATAATTATTGCCAGATAAGTTTTTCTGTAATTGCTCTTCTGAATATCTGTGCTACTTGATTTTTTTCAAAATAACCCTGCCTGAGGGAGTGAAAAGATATATCTGTACAAGGTCCAGCCTAGTAGCTTTGACAGATAACAAAAGCTGGTCAGAAGCAGAAAATTCTTGCTACATTTAAATCCATGTTCAAAAATTATTTGCTGTATCTTGGTTTCTCTTTCTATAAAATGGGAATAGTCACACTGCACTCATTGCTTGCTTTTGTTGTCTAACACCCATGATCAAGGCAAGAGTCCTCTGTCAGACGTTTGGAGCACTGTCATCATCACATACAAGGGCTTGGTACTGCTGATTGTAATGGATAATGGCTGGATAATATACATTCTTTCTTGTGTGTTTTCTGGGACAGTTCTTGAATTGCTGAAAGTTCCTTTTCTATTAGTATTTTTCTATTAGTTAATAACTGTGTAAAAACCAAAATGCAATCATACAGGGAGTTAAAAAAACCCCACAAACAACCCAACCCTCAACTGGCCGCAGCATGAATGGGAAGCTACACAGCACACTGTCATTGAAGGGGATGACCAAATCCCTTTGGGATTCTGTAACACTTCATCCTGCTGCTCAGAGGTCAGAGAGCAGCAGGACATGCTGGCCACATCCTAACTGCTTCAAATGCAGTTGTTTTCTGGCCACAGCACAAAGAAATTCTGCTGTCTAAGAACAGTAAATTCTCCCCTGATCCTCAGAACAAGATCAGGTCAAGCCAAGAGGACAGGAATATGATCCTGCTGGTCATCCACATTTCCCCACTGGGAGTTGCAACACCAGGTGTCTTAACCAGTCAGCGTTTCCATTTGTGAGGCTCTAGCTTTTAACTGTTGTGTGCTATCCTGCATTCAGTAACTTTGTGAGAGTTTTGACAAACTGGAAGGTGCTGGGAGGGGGCTGGGAGCTGCAATGCTGAAGCAGAGCCTCTGTGCCAAGGAAGGCTCCTCAGAGGGCTCAACAGAGCAGCCCTTCCTCCTTGGTCTCCAATCTCTGACCATCACCTCCAGCCTCTATGGCAAAAGAAGGCCTGAAACAAGTGCCATGGCCTTTCCCTGCCCTTTTATACAGCAGAGATGACCGGTGTATGTTAAAGTGTGGCACTTGCTCAGTTTCCTCCAGACAGCCATTGCTGTGTTTGACACCCACCTGGGAGCCACAGGGCCTGGGCCCCCTGGCTTTAAGGAGGAACTTGTTTAGGGGAAAGAATTAAAATTGCAATATCTCATTCTGCTGGTTGCAGAAATGGTGAATGAAAAGCAAAGCAAAGGGTCCCCAAAGATTGTGCATTTAAAGAAAACAAGTTAAAGAGATGAAAATAAATCCTTACATGTTTTTTTTAAAGCAGCCTTAGGACTTTTAGGGATTCCAGCTCAGAAGTTTAGAATAGCAACTAGAGGGGATCATTTACAAGTTGCCTTTTTCCTGATTTCATGTTCTCCCTTTTAAATCTTCCTAGGAAAGAACAGCGACTTTGTATTACAAGCAGCTTGAAAGATTAAGCAGGCAGGAACAACCCGCAGCTCTACCTGCAGCCTTGCGTTTGTTATTTTAAGTTTTGACCGGGATTGACCCGGTGTAAGTGGGTGCGAAAGGTTACCTGAACACTCTCACTTCACTGTCTATGGAAACTGGATTTCCCCCAGTCCCTGTGAAATGGTCTTGCAGTCCCCTCTGCTGGTGGCAGCTTGCTGGGGAGCTGCACCGTGCCACCACATGGGACCTCGATGGACGCTGCAGGAGAGCCCCGGGGCTTGGAGAGCCCCCAGCCCCCAGTGGCACCGACTCCTCCAGGAGGCTTTCCCTTACCCTCTCTGCATCCTTAGTATGAGCACCTCTGACACAGGACAGCAGCACAGGAAAGGGTGAAGATGTTAACCATGGATAACCTTACAAAAACCCACCCTGCCTGTGAAAGTTGAGGCATCCTGCTGAGAGCAAATGCTGTTGCCCGGGGGAATGTATAGCTTGATGGTATGTCTTGAAGTGTTTGTTGAGCTTATGACCAAATATCACCTGCACCTCTTTAAGGCACACGTTCTTGTGTCCCTGAGAGCCTGGAGCACGGCTGCTGCAGGCTCTGGCAGCATTACAGCCCTACAGCTTCTCCACCAGCTCTGCCATGGCTGCTGGGATCCACTTTCAAAGCAACCAAAGCAACATTTTCCCTGGAGAGGTAAAAACAGACATTCAGAGAGGGGCTATGCAGAAAGTCAGCGTTGATGAGTCCTGGAGAATGGAACAGAGCCAGCAGCAAGGGCAGGGTGGGCTCACAGGGATGTGGGCTTTGAGTGCAGCCCGTGATGTGCAGCTGCACGTGATGAGTAGTGCAAATCTTCCAGCACAGAGGGGAAGTTTGACTCCTGGGTGCAAAGAGCTGATTTGTGAGGCTGCTGCTGAGAAAGTCTTTCTGACCAGCTAACACTGACCAGCGTGGGCAGTGGAGGCAGAGCTGGCACAGGACAGTGGATGGCCATGGCTGGCAGTGTGCCAGTGCTCCCTGCCAGCCAGCCTGTGCGAGGAGGAAACCCAAGTGATAACTCTGATAACAGCCCCTGCTCGTGGCCAGAAGCCCAGGGGCCCTGCATGGGAGGGCAGTTTCTGAAGGAATCATCACTAAAGGGATTACTTTGTATGCAAACTCTGTATGCAAACTACTGCAAACACCATGCTCCGGGGCTAGCACAGGCACCATAAAGGGATGTAGTAGAAAAACTAAAAGTTTATTTTTTTAATAAAATACATCCTTACAAAATAACCATTTTTCTCCCAGGCAGAGGGCTGGGCATGGTTCCTGCCAGCTCTCCTTCCTTCCCCTTCTCAATTTGGAACTGTCCAACGGTGCTTCTGGGGCAGAAGAGGCAGCTGTGCTGTCCCCAGGGTCTTCAGGTGCCAGCGCCCTGGCACGGCCCTGGCACACCAGGCAGGTGCAGTGTGAGCCCTTCTGAAGGGCCTGCAAAGGCAGCAGACCCAGTGTCCTGCAGCAGGGCTGGCAGAGGGCCACAAGATCCCTTAGTCTGACCCATCCACAGCATCATGGCATGTCCCACCACAGGCTGTGTGCTGGGCCAGCCAGCCCCTGCCTGGCTGCAGGGCACCACCTCCCATGAGCTGCTGCTGACGCTGCTTCTGCTGGTCTGGGGCTGGCCCAGGGAGGTGATGGGATGGCGACTGAGTTTTGAGAGAAGAGGAGGAGGAGGAAGAGGCGTGCAGGTTTGTCAGTCAGTGTGGATTCTGCTGAGAGAGAGGTGCACAGTGATTTCTGGTCTTTTGCCCCCCAGTCCCCTTCTTCAAGAGATGCTGCCAGCAGAGATGTGATGTCAGTCCCACATCCTGCATCTGCTGCTGCCCCATGTAATTGCTTAAGCTGGGAAGTGCTGACCCTGTGTCAGGCACTGCAGCCCACAGCTCATCTCCTCCAAGCCTCCCTGGATCCCCGCTGCCTTCCTGTAACCCTCCTGCCTGCCCACAGGCCTTGGGACTGCCCCAAGACCTTTAGCCCTCATCCCTGACAGATGTATCCCAGCAGGGCTGGGGAAACACCACTCACCTCTCACTGTGTGTTGTCTGGCTTCTTTTCCTTCTTATGTGACTTCGACTGGGGGTAAAATGAGAGAAAACAAGGGTTCTTTTACAGACTTGCTCCTTTCTAATGCCAGGGAAAATGTGACTGGGCAGCAACTCCTAACTCTCAGTGTATATAATAATTTTCAGATTAATTTGGGGGGAACTGGTTTTTTGTCCTTTTAAAGGCCATGAAACATTCCATGGTCATGAAGATGTTCTCAAAGAGCAGTAAAAGAGACATTTTCTAGTTTACTAAAGCACAGATCTGCCCCTGCTTCCCTTAAAGCAATGCAAGTGTCACCAGATATTGGAATATCTGGGGTTAAAGGCAGAGAATAAAGTTATTAACAATGAGTCACACACAACATCTCAGTAATTTTAGAGAGAAGATTCATGGATCCCAGTCTCCAACAGTCCCAAGGGCTCAGGAAGGCGCCTGGTTGCCCCTCAGCATGGATGTTTGTGTTACAGCATCATTACTCATGCACACATCCACACACACCCCCGCAAGAGCCTCTGCAGGGCAGGCACTCGCTGTTACTTACAGGCTCCTGTTCTGCATATTTGAATTTCTTCTGCTTGTAATAGTCTCGTCCGTGGAGAAAATGCAGCAGGAGCAGGTCACAGAGGACAGAGGCCTTAAATCAAAGTGCAGTTAGGTTTGGAGTTGCCCTCCAAGATTACCTGCACCTCTGTGTACTTCCAGTTTTTCCCAGTTTGCCCCACAATTTAGGGTCACTTCTGCTTGATCCCACAACATGGCAGTTGCTGAAGTCTCTGAATGTCCATTTAGGACAGAAGTGAAGTGTGCTGTGTTCAACAGTGGGTGATTTAAGCCAACAGAAATGAAATGTTTCCCCTTTAGGTAAGTGCAGAGCAAAACACCCTTTGAGCTGTTCCCAAGTCTTTAACAACCATAACCAAATCAGATGCTGGGTTTCTGTCCTGAATTAAATACTGCCAATCACCTACAGACCCTCCCTCAATGCCAGCTCTAACTTGAAACTATCAGGATACCAAGACCTGCCAAGACAGCCAGCCTTGCCTTCATCAGCAGGGCAGAATTCACATCAGCCAGAGACCAGCAGGAATCTGTTTTCCTGAGCTGGCAAGGCAGGAGAGCACCTCCTTTCCCCCTTTTGCTCATCCTCTGATTCCCTGAGCAGTAGCCAGTATTTCACTGCAGCTCAAGGACACTTCCCACGGATGTCACAGGCAAGAAGAATAATTTGAGAGTCTCCATATAGAGGCTGGAAATATCTGAACTTACCACTCCAAAAATACCAATTCCAGAGCCAATTGTGGTCATGGTCGGGATGATGTCAAATTTGCCTGCCTGGTTAAAGTCAGAGAAAATAGGTGATAAGTTACAGTCAGCCCAGGGAGGAAAATAAAGGGTGCTGTAGGTGGGGCTCAGCAAAAGGGCCTCACAGAAACCCAAACCACAACCACAGCACACAGAGAAACAGGAGCTGGGAAAGAGCTGGTCAAACAGAAAAATATTGTAGGTTGGTTTTAGGCTGAAATAAATTGAACTTACTTTTTTTTCCCTGTATTTTTAACATAAAAAAACCCAACCAAAACCAAGCAACCAAACAAAAGTATACACTTTGAATATTCTCCATGGGAACACAATAAGGAAAGCCTTCTCTCCCAGTGGGAAGAAAATGACAAAATAGAAAAATGCAAATGTTCAGCTTTTGGAAATATCAAGAAAAGATTTTGAGTTTCCACAGGTCCCCCCCGACTTCCATCACAAAATTTTTTAGACAAAACCACTGATCAAGCCACAGCTGAAAGACGTGACCAAAAAAACATATTTTTCTCCTGTCTTCCCTTCTCCAGTATTTCCCAAGGGTTCCTGTGAGCAGGCCAGCACGCAAGGAAAGCATTCACACTAATTTTCCTGATCCCACAGGACCCTGGTGCTGTGTTACAGAGCTGGTCTCTTCCCAAGGACATGGCACGGCTGTCCCAGAGATCCAGAGGATCCACCCTTACCTTGCCATTCACCAGAATGTCCAGCCGGATCCCAAACACCTTGTAGAGTGTCCTTTTTTCCATCCCATCTTCTTTGTAGTATTTGGCATATCTGTGCAATTGGATGGTGAGTGTTAATGGTCTGCCAGGGGGTCTAACAGCCCCTGCAACCCTGCAGCATCGGGATCTTGGACAAAGATCTGGGAATGTGCTATCACAGACCTGCTCCTGACCTTCTCATTAAACCCCTGAAGGAGCTGGGCTGTTGGTACCTCTCCTCTCTGTGCCTCAGTTTTCCTGCCTGCAGGCTGGAGTTCCAGCTCCTGCTCATGGTGTTTGATCTGATGTCCCCAGGTTCTGCGTGCAGCAGATAGTGAAGCACTCGTGACAGAGTCACACAGAGCAGAGGATACAGACTATGAGAACACGTGACATGATCCTACACCATCTCCAGTCTTTCAAGGGGCTTCCCAAAAGCTCAGCCAAGAAGGAGAGCCTGCAAGGGGGAGGGGATGGAAAGGAAATGGGGCAGTTTTCAAGGCAACAGGTGTTTTATCACTTTTCTCATGCCATTTAAAAGAGCACTGGTACTGCTGCCTGGTCCTGCAAATCTAGCGAGTATTTTGAAGGACAGTCTCTGGCCTTCCACCATCTCTTGAGTGGGAACCTGAAAGCTGTCACCTCTGAATTACACTTGGAGAATTAGCAGGTATTTCCTTACCTGAAGTTGAACCCTGGTGAAACATTGCTGTCATCGTTGTAAAGGCCATGGAACTGGTAAATGGGTTTGCAGTACCGCAGGGGCCAGTCGAGGTCACAGTTCCAGTCTATGGTGATGCCCACCACTCCACCCTGCAGCCAAGAGGGGAGTCACAACGTTGCCCCTCCTTGGACCACACAAAGAAATGCTTTCCCTCCTCATAGATGTCCTGTCTCAATGGCATGAGGTGTCCTGGCTCTCTAGATGCACCTTTCATATATAGAGTCTTAGACTGGTTTGGGTTGGAAGGGACCAAAAAGACCATCTTTTTCCAAACCCTGCCACAGGCAGGGACACATTCCACTAGACCAGTTTTCTGGTCCTGTCCAACCTGGCTGGGAATGGGGCAGACATAGCTTCTCTGGGCCATCTGATCCAATCCATGCAATAAATGTTCATATATGCAAGCCTCTGATTTTATTCAATGCCTAGCAAAGTTATCACAAGGTTTTGCAGTGCAGAGATAGCAGATGCTCCCACACACCAGCCTGAGGAGTGTTAGGCAAAGCTGCATTTTGGAGCCAGGGGAAAGGCTGCAGTTAACACTGTGCAATGACCAATATTTGACCATCCAGCTGGGATTTCCAAGCTTAATCACATGGGATTTGGCCACAGAGGTCTAGTTATTCACTGCTCAAATTAAAACAAGCTGAACCCTGGGATTTACTGCCAGTGGGTCAAATCTTCTCAAGAGTTCCCAAGAAAAATGTAAATATTAGGCCATGTCCAAGGAGATTCATAATCTTTATGAAATAATTCTGACACTTGTTTTCTCAAGAATTCTTGAGAAAACTGAAAATCATCTCAACAGCTGGGAATGATTGCACTGTGGAGTGTCCCTCTCCCATCAACAGCAAGGAACATAATTTGAAATTGAAGTACCTTAACAGCCAGGAAGGTAAAATTCTGACCCGATTCCTTCACTATATATCCCAGTTCAAACACAGGACATAAGGAATCAGTGACTTTGTGATAGGTACATTTCTTCAGGTACTGCTTGGTAACGCTCTCAACCAAGTTGCGCCTGTGAATGAAAAGAGAGTGAGAAAAGTTCTCAGTAACAATAATTTGGGGGGGGGGAAACCTCTGTAAGTCCCTTGCCTAGTCCATGTCACTCTCCTGTTCACATGCCACTTGTCCATAGGGTCTCCTAGGCAGTGTTCTGAGCTCCAGCAATTCTTATCTGGGACACCTCAGGGATAGTGAGTGTATTCCACACGTGTAGCTGGAGTTTGCTATCTCCTACAGCAAGGGTTAAAAGGAAAGGGCAACTTCTTGCCTTTCATCCCACTCTGCTCTTTTGCCCAAAACCATCCTGTCTGTGAAGCCAGTGGTTTTATAAGACTTGTGCCGTGCTCAGACTGATCCCATCGCTGATGCTCAGCAGTAAATTGTCAGCAGTGATTAAAGGCAGGAAGTTTCCCCACAGCAGCCAGCCTGGCCACCCTCACTGCCAGGACCTGCTCCCTCTGTGTCCTCTTCAGCCTGTCCTCGCTTCGGCCACCTCTCCTTGCAGCTGGGAGGGATCCCCTCTCCCAGCCACCTCTTGGGAGGTGCGAGGTCAGCCCAGCACATTGCCAAGCGTGCTGGCTGCCAGGACACTTAACCTTGGCTGCAGCACAGGGACAAGATCAGCTTAGACAGAAGAATCTGCTGTCTACAGCACAAATAGCTTCTGTTAATTTGTTCCAAATCAGATATATGGTCAGTGCCATCACAAATCCTCTTAGGAGTGTGCCTGCAGCCAGCAGCATTTCCCCCAGTGCTGACAGGAAGGGGCCAATCCCACCCTTTGCTGAAACAGGTGGGATCTGTGATGTTAAGGTGTGAATACCACATTAAGGGGGTCTCTGGGGCACCAAGCTTATCCTGGCCATGTGGTATTTTAATTTTGTCTTCAGAGAAGAAAAATGAAAAATCAGAGTAACTGATTTGCAACTTGTGAGGGTAACTCAGGAGAGGTTAATTCCAGAAATCTTTCCAGTAACTTACAGCTACCAGCTGAGGTGGGACAGATTTGGGAGGGAAATGTCTCAGTTCCTATGAGCTAACATGGGGTTCAGTGCAGCAGTTAGAGTAGTTCTGGGATCACTGATGATGTAGGCAATCCTCTATATCAAGCATCCAGTTACACCCATCCAGCTGAACCCGTGGTTTCCTCTGAGGGACACAGCTGGAGGAACTGACCAGGATTCATCGCCCCAAACTTCTCCTTACCTGGACACCTTGAACTTGGGGAAGGTGATACTGTTCTTGATGAACAAGGTGAACTTCTCTGCTTCTGACAGCAGGGCAGGGCTGAAAAACACCAGCGTAGACATCACTTGGCTCTCCAGGCTCTAGAGAAAGCTCCATTTGGTGGAAATTCACCCAAACTGAGACAAGCAGACCCAGAAAACTGGTGGTATCAACCCTTCCCTTTCTGGTCTTTCACAACAACGGCTGTCCTGGCCACATCCCATAGAGCCCCAACTTGATCTGCTCCACACCAAGTGCAGCTGGGATGGGAAAGAGGGCAACAACACCATTCCTTACCTGGGAACATGGTAATCAACTTCAACAGGGCACCAGCCAAAGATCTCACAGGTCTTCACAGTGCTGTTGAAACGTACACACTTGCCAGTCATGAGCCCTGTGGGGGAGACAGCTGCTCACACCCCTGGATCCTGTGAAATCTCAGCTCACCTGGGATGGGTGGGATCTGGTTGGGGCTTCAGCTCTGCCAAGGGCATTCAAGACACAAAATGCTCAGGGCTTTGGCACCTTTCTAAGCCAGGAAATTAGTTGTGGCCTCTCAGCTCAGGACAGTGGTTTCTCTTACAGTGTTATACAGGGGAGCAGCTGGGGATTTTTCTTGTTAAAACACACCTAACAAAATGCTGAGCTGATAAGAGGACAACAGTTCGGGGGAAATGGCTTAGTCCTGATTAACCTTTTGTCCTGATTAACCTTTTGTTTGCAGCTGAGGTATCTTTCAAAACAGCAGAGCTGGACCAGCCCATGTGGGACCCTCAACCAGCATGTCAGAGGTTCCTGTTCAAAGCAGGTCCCCCAGCCAGGGGACACCCCAGCCAGGCAGCTTTTCTCCGTGCTGTCTCACCAGAAACACCAGGAGCGTGTGCCATACCTTGTCCCTGGCGGCTGTATTTCCCTTTGCTGCAGTCGCTGTCCTGTGAGCACAGCCCAGCATCTGGCAGCTGTTTGGAGAAAGCAGCCACCTCTTAGTGTCCCACCCTGCAGCTTCAGTCCCCCTGTCCCTCCTGCCTCACCAGACAGCATCTTTCTTAAGGGTTACACTGCTCAACTGCAGCCAGAGCCTTGTTCATACACTGCTTCCCAACCAAGGCTGTCCAGATAAATCAGGAAAAAATAGGCAATTTATTCACTCCAGGCAGATGCTTTCATTTAATCCTCAAGTCTGCTCTGCTTGATCATCTCAAAGGGAAGAAAACTTAAATGGATGCCGCCTGTTTTTCAGCAGAATAAGTCTTCACACAGCACACAGGAGTCAGGAACATTAAACATGGGGCCAGGCCCTGGCTTTTACTAAACCTCTCAGTGTCAGAAAAGTCACCCAGTGACACCACCACAATTCCCCTGAATCACAGAAGCTTATCCCACTGAAGGAAGCCGATGCGTTTACCTCTGGGCAGGTTCCTTGTTTCTGTCCAGGAGTGACAATGAAGTTGGTCATCACCACAAACGAGTTGTCCCCCTGTGGAGACACAGCCAACGAGTTCGCAGACAGCACAGTGTCTCCTCTGGCAAACGAGTTGTCCCCCTGTGGAGACACAGCCAACGAGTTCGCAGACAATGAGCACAGTGTCCCCTCTGTGAGGAGCCTCTCCCTGGGTGGGGACCTGCAGTGCCACCAGCCCCAGGGACTCTGGACGACTCCACTTGCTGCCTGAGGTAGTGCTCCAGAGGCACTGGAGGAACCTTGATCCTCTTGGAGGCAGCCTCAAATGTGCCTCCTCAGCCACAGCGAGTCCCAACTACCAAATGCTCCTTGGGGAGAACCTGGGCAGAAGTTTGTGATAGGAGCAACCTCCTTTCCATCACAGGGACATCCTGTCATGGTTAGCTCCATGGTTAGCTCCATGGTTAGCTCCATAGAAAGCCTATGCCAAGGACCCATCTGCACCCCAGCACATGAGGAAAAGCAGCCACTGGGACAAAAGCAAATCCCTAACCCACTCACCATGACTCCTTACCTGGGGTGGGAACACATAGTCCACCACATCCCAGATGTGAGGACCCAGGACACTCTCGTTGGTCAGTGTCAGCCCTTTCAACTTCACGGAGACCGAGCTGACGATGCTGTCCTGAGACTGGTAGCCCTTCTCGTAGAGGAACACCCACCTGGACAGGGAAAGGTGGCAGGGTGAGCATGGCCACCAGCACTCCTCCACTGGCCCAATCCTCAGCACACACCTGTGGGCTGGGGCTTTTTCTACCAAGTCTCACCTGGGGAATCATTTGCCAAGTTTCTTCCTGCTGGACAAGGGACCTGTTGCTGAAATTTCCTACCCTTTGCCTGAGGCATGTGATAGCTGCAGGACCCGACTTTCATGCCAGAATGGTGTGTTCTGGGGACTGGGACACATTTTGTGGCTGAGGGCATGTGATGGCAGGTGGAACACAGTGGCCATCAGTCATTTATGGTTAAAGCCTATGGCAGGTTTGCAGCTAGCTGGTCACAGTGACCTACCCCAACACCCTTGATCTCCTGATCCACTGCAGAGGAGCTCTCCAAACCCAATGCCAAGGCCAACACAGAGCTCAGTCTGGACATGGTTCACATCCAGAGCCACTGTTCCCCATCCAGCAGAGGGAATGAGGAGCAATGGCCCTGTGTGCAAAAGGGCTGCAGGAGCAGGGTTAGGGACATTGCTGTGACCAGAACAGGGCTCTGCCTGCCTTTCCCAGCCCATCACACAGTCATTAGGGCAGGCTCCTGACACTATTTAACCTAGAGCATAAACAAGCTGCCGCTGGATTAACTCTGACTCAGGGAGACTATAAACATGGGCAAGCAACCATTTCGGGTAGTGCTCCCGGCGCCGCGGAGCATTCTCGGCACTAAAAAAGGAGCGATCTGGATCTTGTCCCCACTGCCGCAGGCATCGGTCCCGCTGGCTGTGACAGAGGCAGCAGCTACCCACGGGACAGCCCATGACACCAGCCTGGTGTGTCAGCCTCCCCTCTGACACCTGGCTGATGGCAGAGGGGAAAATGGGGAATCCCAGGTGCTGTCTGGTTTTCTGTTTGGTGCTGGACCTTGTGGGGACTACTCAGAGAGGGAGCAGCCACATCAGCATCCTGGGACTGAGGGCAAGAGGACCTCAGGGATAGCATCTGCTCCAGTGCCTGGGGATGGGAGCAGAAATTCAACACTGCTGCCACCCCAGCTGGGACACCCAGCTCCAACATCCTCTCCAAGGCAGGAGACCATACTGGGTTACACTGGTTACACTGGGCATCAGGGAGATGCTCAGGGCTGCGTGAGGATCTGAACTGGGCAGCAGCAAGGGTAGAACATTTCTCTAGATCAGCCTCCAGCACAGACCCTGCTGCTGACCTTATCCCCCTCTGGCAGAGCTGACTATGGGCACACACGGCTGGGCAACCCCACCTCCCCTGTGGCAAAGCCAAGGTCATGACAAACAAAACCATTTCCCGTGAGGCTGTAAATGCTGCAGCAAGTCCTGCCCAGGTTGTAAAAGTCCCCTGGTGTCACTCCCTGATGTGGCAGAGCCACCAAGCCCTCTTCCCTTGCTGGCCTCATCCTGTGGCTCAGCCCGCAGCTCCTTGCATGCAAGAATTCAGGAAGTGACACCCAGAATGTGCCCAGCATCTCCTGGGCAACAGCGATACCCCCTTATCACAGTCACCACAGGAAAAAGAACTGCTCCCCAGGGGTGACACGGGGGCTCGCAGGGGGGTTGGCCCCACTCCTGTGCACTGATGGCACTGCCCATGTCCTTCTAGCAGAGTCATGCATTGGCACACATTTCCATGGGCATCCCATGCCTGCTATGAAGGGGGGACAAAAGCTGGGAGAATGGTAAATAAATACACATTTGGCTGCCAAATTTGCTTTCAAAGGGCAGAAAATCTCAGGCATTGTGGCTTGGTGAGGGCAATGAGCTCGGGGCAGTGTTGTGGGCAGAGAACTGCAAGCAGTGCTGTGGGAAGGCAACTGGGGGCAGTGCTGTGGGGAAGCCAGGGGCTGGTGGGGCTGTGGGAAGCTGCAATCATAGCCCCTTGCTAGAGGAGCCCCATCCCAACAAACCAGGAAAAACTTGGGAATTATAGCAACTTCATGCCAGATTCCTCTCCTCTGCCACTGGTTGTCACCCCCTGGCTGGTTCTCTTCCTGATCCCTCCTGGTTGCCTGTCTCAGTTTAGCCAAGTTGCTTGAGCCACGTTGCCTTAGTTGCTCTGCTCAACCATCTGTGCCAGTTCCCCATCCACAGGAGCAGCTGCCCCAGCCACATTTGGCACTGGAGCCCTGGGACTTCACAGGCTCAGTCCTTAGGAAAAACAAAGCTGCTCCCAGTAACACCAGTGCAAAACTCTCTGCAGCAGAGCATCCTTGAGACCTCGGTTGCAGTTTTGCATGAGGATTACCCTTGGGAGCCAAAGTGCTGGTGAGCAGGGTGGGACCAAGGAGGGGACCAGCATGGGGGTTCCACACTGATCCCCTGGGAAGAAGGGGAAGGCTTTCACCCTTTCCAGGGAGTCTGTGCTAAAAGGCAGGATGGGCACCTCTGCTCCCTGCAGTGACTTGCTTGCACTGAGGCCTGGGAGCCACTGCCTTTCCTTTGCATAAGACACTCTGTGCCCCAAAAATTCCCAGATTTTCCAATTCATGGCCAGACACCCCCTTTCCTTTCAAACATCCTGCCCTGGGTGGGGGCACCCATGAAAGGGGGCTGGTCTCCTGCTAGGGCTGATCCCACAGCAGCCATGGGGCCACAGCAAAGGCTCACCAACCATCACATCCCATAGCATCATCCCACACGGGGGGGACAGGCACAGAGTAACTGCAGCAGGAGCAGCAGCCCCGGGGCACCTGAGGACACACATCCTCACCCATTCTGATCCCGCCTGCTCCACTCACTGCCTTTTTTAAGCAGTTGCCCTTGCTTTTGGAGCTGCCTCCCAGAAGCAAATAAGACCAGGAATTTTGGAGCCAAGCTGTGTCTCGGCCGCAGCGTCAGAGCGGTGAACAGGGAGATTTATGGCCCTGTCTTGAGCCGCTTGGGTCTCACAAATCACTGCACTGGCCCCAAATGCCTCTTATTTAATATAAATGAAAATAAAAATAACAACAGATTCTCAGGCCACCGTCCAGCAGCTGGAGCAGGATCTGGGTTCTCTTCAGTGAGAAGACGGGGCCCCGGTGTGCAGAGCAGGGCTGGGCAGGGATGAGCCTCCAGCCTGGACATACAGTAGCTGCTGGGGAGGATATGGGCACTAAGCAGCCATCTAAAAGAGCCATGGTGGGACACTGGGGGCTGCACGGGAGCAGCCACAGCCAGAGGGATGTGAAGCCATTAGCAATAACCCCCTGCACTGGGATATAGGGGATATAGAAGCCCCTCTCTCCCCATTGCTTTTTAACCCAGTGGCAGAGCATTAATTTCAGGGAGGGCAGGTGCTGGGGAGCCTTACCCGATGATGTACGCCAGGACAATGAGCTGGATCAGCCGGAAGGTCAGTCCCACCTTCTTGTTCCTCACCAGCACCATCCGAGGGGTGTCATACTCGAAGAGGAAGGAGGACAACCTGTCCATGCACTTCTGCCCCATGGCTGTGCCAGGGCTGTGCCGCAGCCTCCCGGCTCTTCACTGCGCCCCGGGCTGGGCCGTGCCTCTCCTCTGTTTGCAGATTAAAAAAAACAAAATAAGAATGCTATCGGCGTGGCTCTGAGCACATCTGGGCTGCCGGGTTTCCTCCTCTGCGCAGGGATGAGGCTTCCTCTTCCTATAAGCTCTGGGCTGGGAACAGCGGGTGCCCTACATGGTCTGGGGGTGGGACAGGGTGTGGGAGGGTGCAGGGCCACCCTGTTGCCAAGCCCTCATGCCACCAGGATGAAGCCATCTGCCTGTGAGCGATGCTCCCTCGCCCGGCAGGAGCCTTCCCTGGGGACAGAGAGGCTGCAGGCAGGGCTTGGGATGAGCAGAGACCTCGAGGCATTCCTGGGGAACAGTGGGATGCAAGAGATTGTGAGGGTCCCAGGAGGAATTTTAGGAATTAGGATTGAGATATCATCTTTTCCATCACAACAGCCACCTCAGGCTGTTTGTCCTGAGTCCGTGTCCTACTCTGTCTCCCAAAAGCTGCCTCAGAGGAAGGGTCGGGAAGGAGAAGGGGGAGCACCAGCAAGCCCAGCTCAGAATTCAGAGCTGACCCATGGAGCAGAAGGGCGCCCAGCTTGGCCCCCTCCCTTGGTGAGGCCAGACAGCTGGGGCTTGGCTCCCTCCCAGCACTTGCACTGGGCTGGGCTGGGTGCATTTGGAAGCATTTCCAGCATTTCCTGAATGGCCTGGATGTGAGCAGGGCCAGGCGAGCCGGGGTCACTGCGAGCGATGCTCAGCAGGGTGGTGCAGACACCACTTAAAACAAATATCACTGAGAAAGGGACTGGGTTTGACAGTGCCAGACTGAAATTTGGGGGCCAACAGCTGCAAGGGGAAGCTTTGAAGGGGGTCGGCTCATTGCTGGGAAAGGCACAGAGGCTGTGGATGGGGGACCCTGTGGCCTCAGTGCATCCCACTGGGCAACTCCAGGGCACACTCTGTGCTGGGGAGCACTGGAGCTGAGAAGGGAGCACTGGGGCTGTGTTTTTGGAGGAAAGAGAGGATGTTTTCCCCAGAAATCCCAGCACTGAGCTGCTTCAGCACTCCAGGCAGGGACAGGCTCCATGAGCCTCAGTTCATCTGCTGCCTCCCTTGGCCTCAAAGGAGACACTGGCTCTCTGCAGCCACCAAGCCTGGCATAAAGGCCCTCTCTGCAGGAGGAATAAGTTTTGAAAGTAGGCAAAATCTTAACCTGCTGAGATAAATCCTTGCAGGAATATTTCTTTTAACATCACTGCCTCTCAAGCTCACTTGTGGCTTGCTCATGGTCACATTTACCTTTCTACTCAATATATTATAGACCTGACAACTGTGAAATAAATGGAAAAAATCAATTATCTTTGCTGGGCAATAAGGAAAAGTGGGGGGAAAGCAACTGAATCATTTATCTGAATCTTTTGGGCGTACCATAAAGCCTGGGAATCAAAATCAGATGATCCCACGTTGCAAGTGACGTGATGCGATCCCAATGCCCCAGTCCTCAGCAACATGGAAAGTTGTCAGACAAGGAGCCAAAAGCAAACACAAAATGCTGATGTTAATCATACAGATTGAAGGCTGATACTGCTATTGAGTGGAGCAGACAAACCTTATAAGCTTAGATATCTGTCAGGAGAGAAGCAAATAACTTACTGTATGAAACGAGGCCTTTTAGGGAAGGCTGCTCACCCTTGCCAAGGCCATGGGGATAATGAAAATAGGACAGCTAAATTTAACAGCAAAATGACTTGTAAAAGAGTCACTTCTAACCTCCTCTCTAGTACTTGAAGTCAATAAAATGGTTATAGCATGGATTTAGCTAAAATACTTTCCATTGGGAGATAATAGGCATCTGCCATTTTATAATCTCTTGGAGCCATGTTGCAGCTGGAGAGTGGGACCAGACCCCGTCTGGAGTGATGTGGAGAGCAGAAAAGCCCATCCTGAAGCACCAACAGAGCCTGAATCTTTTCCTGGGCTGGTACCAGCACCCAGCACAGACACCCACTTGGCCACAGCACCCAAATGCTTGAAAAAACCACAGCCTGAACACCTGTGGGCTCACACCTCTCCACACCCACACCATCCCTGGGATTGCCACTCCTTAAATTACTTTATCACAGGGAATTCAGTAAGTTTGCACAGGGATTGCTCACCTGTGTGGCCCTGCAATGGTGCCAAGACGGTGCCAGCACACCTCCCTGCCTCTGGCAGGTGGTTATCGAGGGACAATGCCCTGCTTGGGCTGTTCAGTTGTTGACTGACCTGCCCAGACAGGGCAGTCTCTGGCCAGAGATGCTGAGCTCATGGGGCTGTGGTGCTTCCAGCTGTGATGTAGGCACTGGGCTGTCCTGAGGCTGCCTCTTTGCTGTGATAATTAATGCATTACTCTAACACTCAAATGAAAAATAAAGATAGAATTAAGAGGAAGAGGTTTTTGTCAGCCTGTTGGGTAAGGTGCAGCCTGGGGGTGTCCCATGACCTTCTGCACCAATTCCCACATGTAGCTGGGACCTTGGGGAAGGTTTTATCTTAGGTTCTCACAGACACCAACTGGTGTGGTGCTGTCAATACACTCACAGCCATCTCCTCTGAATAACTTTTTTGTATCTCTTGGCTGCTTCCAAGCAGAGCGGGCAGGAGGCACTGGGGATGCTCTGCTGGAGTAACAAGGAGCAGAGGCTGCTGGAGGAGCAGTGGCAGCTTGAGTTCATCTGCAGCAGGTACTGGACACTGAGGATGGGCTTGCCTGGGGCACAGAAAACACTGAACTGGGCTTGATCTGAGCAGCATGAAAACAAAGGACCAGGTGGGACAACACAGGGACACAGAGTAGAGCTGGAAGTGTTCAAGGTCAGGTTGGATGAGACCTTGAGCAACCTGGTCTAGTGGAAAGTGTCCCTGACCATGGGAGGGGGTTTGAACAAGATGATCTTTAAGCCCCCTTAAGACCAACCCAAACCATTCTGTGATTCTATGACTCTAAAGCCAGGTTGAGATAAAGAAAATGAATCCATCTAGCTCCACTGCCCATGGGAGGGGGAAATGAAAGCAGAAACAGCAAATGAGGCTCTAAAGCCCCTGTGTTTGTGTCTGAGATTGCAAAGACCTAGGGCCAGATTTCCCAAACACTCTCCTGGGTCAGCTGGCATTGACTGATCTCCAGTGCCTCATCCAGCATCTCCTGCTCCAGCTGGGCCAGATGCCAAGGGCCCTGAGGGCTGGTGACCCTCCAAGGGCATCCCTGGCAGTGTTCTGCAGGGGTAGCACACATTCATGGCTGTGAAAGGAGCTCATTCCCCCTGCCCATGAAACACACTCAGCCTGTGCTTGGGGCTGAGAGAAAAATGAAAAATCTGCTATTTTTAAGGGAAACATTTGGGAATGCACATCCTTGGTATGAGCTGGGACAGGAACTGCTGGAGCACAAAGAGGGTTCTGAAAACCTCTGCATGGGGCTCAAGCCCACCCACACCCAGGGAAGCACCACTGTGGAAGGCATAAAAGCTACCAGGTAGCTCTCAGACATTGATAGGGAGAAAAGAAAATAGAGAAATAATAGACGAAGCTCATTACACAACCCAGGCTCATGCTTGGCAGCACGAAGCTCTGAATTTCAGCACAAAAATGTGCGGCACGCTGCAGATCGTGGATGGGGAGGAGTGACACAGAGGCAAGGTTTAAAATATGATGGTGGGTGCAGAGGGGACCTGCTGTGGTCGAGGTTGCCAAGAAGAGCCCCTGAGAGCTGGAGGCTTTTCCCAGTAATTTTGGCTGCCACAGCCCCCTTGCCCCCGCCAGTTGCAGGAGGTGCTTACACTGCACCACTGGCAATGGGAAGGGGAGGGTGGAAAAAAATTGGCAGATGAGAGCAAACAAGGTCCTACAAAACAGCATGTTCAGTTTTCTTTCCAATTTTAACTTGTCCTTGACCTCTCTTCGCTCCTTCCCAGCAGGGCTGGCTGGGCTCTGTGCTTGTCCCGTGCTGCAACGCCCCAGCACCAGATGTTTGTGGTGGTGCTCACCCCTCAGAAGTGGCATTTCCATCCCCAGTTGCTGTGACAACACATCTCCCTGGAAATACTTCAGTTTAGCTGATGCCAAAGCAAACATGAACCTGAGGTGCTGAGGGTACCAAAAGGTGTCAGTGGCCCTGTGGCCACTGTGGCCTCCAGAAATGTGGATGCACATCCAGTGTGGAGGCTGGATCTGTGCCATGGGATACAGGGGCCCTTGGGATTTTTGTTGGTAGGGTGTTGTTGTTTTCTGAATCATGCCTTCAAAAGACAAGCACAGCTCCAGGTCATGGTACCCAGGGGTCCAGGGACTGACACAACATCAGGTGGGGAATTTGGAGTGGTTTTGCCTTCACTGCTGTGTCCTGAGACAACATTTTTGGTATTGGGGACTGGCTTGAGGGTCACCTCCAGCCATGGCAGTGGTGCTCCTCTTGCTCTGACATCAGTCTGCACCAGCAAAGAGGAGGCCAAGCAATGGCCCTTTCCCAAAACCAGAATGTTCCAGGGCATCCCATGACACTCTTTGTAACCCACTGTGGGTTACAAGGCTTTTGGCTTACCTTGTGCACCACCTTTGTCCTGCTCACACATTGGGAAGGAACACATGGGGCCACATCCCAGTGAAAAAGCACTAAGGGTAGATGTTGCCATGAGCACAGATTTGCTCCAAAACAGGACCTGCAGCTGGATCAGGATTTTCTGCTTCAAACATCACCATGAGCAGAACTCTGGTGATGCAGAGATGGAAATGCATGGCCCCAAGCCCTATGCCATCCCCCCAGAGGAGGCCAAGTTATTTAATTATTATTTATTTCACAATTAGCTCTTGCAGAGGTTATTGCAGGGCTTATTTAAACCTCCCCTCCCAGCTGGGGGAGATAAGGTGATGACTATTCTGGATACAGTCAAAATTAGCACTGTTATTTGTATTCTCATGCCCCAAGAGTGAATTTTAAAAATTCCCAACAGTCGTATTATGCCACTCCGCTCATTTTGCCTTTGTCATCCCATGCCAGGCACAAGCTCAGCTCCATTTCTAGTTTGGCTCCTCTGAAAACCCACAAGAAATCCTGATCTGGTGAGCACAACTCCTTTTAGGGCTGAAGAATGCCCTCAGGCACTCCCGTATGGCTCCATGGGCTCCCAAATGTCCCCCAAATCAGCCACAAATGGGACAAGAAAAGCAAAAAAAAAAACCCCAAAAAAAGGTAAAACAACAACAATGAAATAGACACAAAAACTCCCAGTCATCCAGTAAAATTGCTTTTATTTCTGTAATTTTCTAAGTATAAAACAAATCAGCCCAATATTGTGTGAACAGAGTGGATTGTATGGATGTGACCACAAGGAGCCTTCCCACGTCTTCCCGGCACACCTGGCTATTTACAGTCAGACAAAGGACACGGTTTAGGAAGCAGCAATTTAGTGGAAAAATATCTCTCATATAATAAAATAGGAAACCTCATTTCTTTCAGTTCTATCCCTCAGATAACACCCTCCCACCCCCCAAGATATAACAATTTACCTTTTACTATGAAGCACAATCTCAGAGATTTCTACATTTGGCTGTTCAGGCATCTCATATAAAAAAATCAGCATATTCCCAGACTGAAGCCACTGAGGGCACCTGCTGGCAGTTCAGGGGTTGCCCTCCTCTTGGTCCCAAGTGCCCACCACTCCAGGCACACACAGATTTTGGCTCATTTAATGCCCCACTCACACCAAAAGCTGAATGGCACCACAAGAACAGGTCCAGGGAGCACAGTTTACCCTGTGTCTACTCACAGCAGCCCTGCAAATCCTAACTCCAACTGTGCCACACAAGATCTGCATGGGGTAAAGCCCTCTCCTTGGTCAGTACTGCCAGGCTGTCTCCCCTGACAGAAAATGCCACTGCAGAAGTGGGGGAAAAAGAGCCCAGATGGGAACTGAATCTCTGGCATCATTTACACAAGGTGATGGCCATGCCAGGTATGGTCCAAAAATCACAGTAAGTCTCAGGATTAGGTAGTGGGGACTTGGGTGTGTTTGATTCAGAGTGATCTAATGCCAAGGTCACTGGACCTCATGAACATCTCCCAGCCAGGGCCCCTACACAGCTCAAATCATTATTTGGTGAGTTTTGGTGGAGCAGGACCCTGACTGGGAAGCAGTATTATCAACCTGATGTACAAAAGAAGGACCAAAACTTAATGCTGAGTTTTCCTCTTGCTCCTCCTTCTGCCATCCACACCATGAGCAGAAACTCCAACGCAACCCCAGATCTGATGCTCCTACAGGAATGAAGCCCCTCAGCCCCTCCTCAGAGCCTGTCCCTCCTCCCCAGCGCCTGGTGCTGCCATCCAGCCTTGGCTGAGCAGAGCATCACCAGAAACACACACACAGAATGCTCACAGTGCCAAAACCCCAAACACACAAACACAGACCTCATCCACACCCGGGCCACACGACACAAATAAAATACAGGATACAGCACTTTGCTCTTTTTCCTTTTCCAGCATGGGATCCCCGTGGGATCACACAGCACAGGGGGAAGAGCTCATCCAGCAATGACACAATACCCCAGAACAGCACAAAAGACTTTCCACCACAGCTGATCCCCCTGGTGCTCGCCCCAGGAACACAGGACCTTTCCCTCCCACCTTGGCTGTACCCCAGCACGGTGCTTGGCCCCTGAGGAAGGAGTATAAAGTGCTCATGGATAATCATAATCCTATGCTGCCATCCAGCATGTCCTACACCCTGCATCTTGTGGAGGATCTGTCACAGCAGCCCACCAATGCTAAAGGTCTTGCTGGAAAGACCTGAGTTTTATTTATAGACTTAGAATATGCCAGGCAGCACCATCAAAATAAAACTAAAAATGGAATAATTTCTAACCTCTGTTGCCAAGAAAAGCAAGAATCCCAGAGGTTTTCCCCTAAGCTGCTTTTAAAAAAAAAGCTTTAGGGCAAAACAGCCACCCAGTGTCCATCTCCCTTGTATTGCACAGTCAGATGCCTTGGTAAGACACAAGAGCCTATCCCAAAGTGATGGTCTTGGCTCTGGGATCTCCAAGTTTACACAAGAACATGTTCCAGCCTGTAAAAGCTCCCAGCATGCTGCTGCTGGCACACATGCAATAAATAAGTACTCTGTGATTTATCCTGACCTTTCACTGAAGAATAAAGGAAAAAATACTTACACCTACGGATATTTTTCTACTTAATTAAGATGTTTGAAGTATAAGGCTCTGCAATCAGAAGTATGGAGTGAAACCTGTACTCCAAGTAATTAAAGGATGGGGGAGAGACAAGAGATGTGGTCAACCATTGAGAAGGGGAAATGGGGACGTGTCAAAATGGTCCCTCCTGGCAAGGAGGCCACCTGCCCCAGGCAGCTCTAGTGCAGATTACCTGGGTATTTTCTAGACAGATCTGAGGGCTCACAATAGAAATAAAATCCAACTTGCTGCTGCTGGAAAGAACAAACTGGGACACAGCTCTGGTTTCTTGCCCACGGTGGCTCAGGCTTTGGTAACTCACAATTGTGACCCAATGACTGCATGAACAGACTGACACTGCCTGGGCTTTTACACAAGAAACTTCTCCACACCACACACATTTGGGTTCAATTCATAATCCTTCACCAGACATTAAGTCCAGGGAAAGCAGTGTAACTCAGGTGGTGGATGGACCAAGCAGGTTCCTGTAGCACAAGGGACCAAGGAGATGTCACTGGGCAGCTGCAGGCCCTGCTGGACCCTCCAAACAGGGCTGGGATGCTCTGAATCCTGCCCAGCCTCTGAATCCAGCCCAGCTTCTCCTTAAGTGGTTGTTAGCCTCAGAGAAACAAAGAAGCTCTCTCCTGTGATGACACTGAGCTGGAGCTGGACTAAATTCCCACTGGCTGCTTTTCTGCACAGAGCGATGGAGATGGACTCAATCATCTTGGATGTCTTTCCCAACTTAAACAATTCTTTACTTCTGTGACCTGTGCTAAAATAAGGTGAAATCCACCCTTCTGAGGAAGGGCAAATCACATGTCTACAGCATTAGTCTTACTGAAGCCTTTTTTTGAAGGCTTATACAGTACCTGGGTCATGTCCTGGTCCTCTACACCAGGGTGGGTCTCATCCATGGTGAAAATCTTTGAAGAGGAATTGGTTATCCCGTGGGATCAACTGATTAAATCATTTTGACAGAACACAATTGAAAAATAAAACTTCTTCAAGACAAAGTATAGTAAGATTTTAAAAAATCAGCAACAATCTTCTAACCACAGAGTATCTATAAAGATCTTTTTAAAGAGCTCCATATTAAAATTCCTTGAATACATTATATATTAAATACAGTAACAACATTTCATGCAAGGTTTTCTGTACAATAAATCAGCTCAGTAGTATAACAATTCTGTACATTCCCATTGGTCTGGGGGTTCTGCTCATCTTCAATGCTGGTGATGGAGAAAAGAAAGGACGGATGATATTTGGCACCTACTGTATGGAAGGAGAGATGCTCTTGCCCAGATGATACAGAAAAACACTGGAAGCTTTTAAGAGACAAAAAGTAGAAGAAGAAACCCAACAGCAGAGGAGCAAATGCTATCCCAGACCCTGGCTCTAGTGCTGTTGCTGGAATGTAAGAGAAAGGAAAGATACAGGCTCTGGCTAACTAAATATCATCAGGATGGATCCTAGGGGACTGTGAGGAAAACAGGAGGGAGGATTTGGAGAGCTGGAGAAGAGATCACCCAGTATCAGCTTCTCAGCTGATGCAGCTCAATGGAAAAGGATCAATTCAATGGATCCAAAATCCACTCCTGATCTACAAATCCTCACTGAAGACTGTCTCACTCCTGCTGTGGAAAAAATCCCCAGAGGGCAAGATAAAGTTGGTGCCTTACAAAAAGGGATGCCACAACAAACACCACTCATGGAGAAAGACTACATTATGTACAAGCATACATTCATTCCCATCGTGATCCCTTGGCAGGGATGCCCTGTGCAAGTCAGTGATTTCTCCACAGCAGAGCACATGAAGTCATGGATGTGCTCCTGAACACTTAAGCTCTACTACTGCTAGAGAAATAGTTAAAAATTCACTGAGGAAAGAAAGTGTGACCAGGAAGGAGTGGTGGACATGAGGAATGCAAGGTAGGCATCCCCTTGCTTTTCTTTATGTGGCTGCCCCTCCAAGGAGAAGGACTGCCTTATATAGTGCAGATGGGATTTAGCAAGGTGCCAGATGGAGAACAGACAGGACTTCACCGTGCTTTGGTGCTGGATGAGCCTGAGAAGGTGCTGGGCTTTCCATAATGCAGGGATCAAACAGGACAGCGTGATAAACAGGGAGAACTTTGCCTTCCACCACATGCACCTGACCTTGAGGTACAAACACACCTCCAAGAGATTCACACCAGTGTTGGACACACTCTGAAGCTATGCCCAGCTGCTGCAGCCACTGGAGCAGAGCACAGCAGCAGCAACACTGTGGACATCATCAAGGCTCAACAACCCCAACACACAGCTCCCTCTCCTCTCTCCCTGCCCTCACTCACTGCCAAGCCCTTCCCAGCCCCTGAAGCTGCCTTGTGCATCCCATCCCACTGGGGGATGTGGCCTCAAATCCAGACTTCCTGCCTTAATCTCTCATGAAGGCCACCTTGCCTGTGCTCACTCAGGGTGAAAATTGCAAAGAGGGTCTCAAATTTGGCAAGAACAAATCCCAAGGAACCACATTACAATGATTCAGATCCACACAGCTCCATCCCCAAACTCTACGCCAGCTGTCCAGTAATTGCACTCATATGTACAGGGAAAAGAAAGCTACAGAACAGAACGAAAATCAGGATTTTTTCTTTTCGACGATTCACCCGCATTTGTCTGATAGTTGGACACATGCATGTCCTGCTGGCTCTAGCGATGGTCACGCATGCAAGACTTCAGTCCCAGTTACAAGTTAGGGATCCTCTAGTTCAGAGTCGCCCTCGTGTCGTTCATTTCTTGTCCTCTTCTCCTGAAATGAAGGGCAAAAAAGAGAAATGTTGGTATTGGTGAGGGTTCAAAAGCAAACCAGCTCTGTGTTTTTTGTTACCAAGAGTGGTTGCTCCTGGTTGATCCCAGAAGGAACTTGGGATGATGTCTGCACACAGCTGGCCTGACTGCAGCTGTGGCAGCTCAGGCTGCGTGACGAGGAGTAGGAGGATGCTGGTGCCTGGGTGAGGAAGGTCTCTGCAAGAGTCAGGCAGAGGGATGAGTGCACAGAATTCACAGAATTCACAGAATCACTGGGTTAGAAGAGACCTTCAAGATTATCAAGTCCAATCCAGGCCCCAACACCACCTCAACTAAACGCTGGCACCCAGTGCCACATCCAGGCTTTTTAAACACATCCAGGGATGGTGACTCCACCACCTCCCTGCAGGCTATTCCAGAGCTTTATCATCCTTTCTGTGAAAAGCTTTTTCCTAATATCCAACCTGAGGTGGAGACACGAGGGAAGGTGAGTAGGCAGGATCCCTCCTTACTGCTCTAATGAGGCATTATGCAGGGAAAAGCAGGGGCTCAGAGAGGAGGAAGCTCACTGCATCCTCCCACCACCCCAGAGCCCAGCCCTGCTACAGCCAGAGACACGGACACTGCTCCATGGGTTCACACCACCTACACACACTACCCACGTACCTACACCCATAAACACCTGCAGAACAAGGAGCAAGGACCAACCTCCTCACCACAGCCACTGTCCCAGGGCTGCCCTCCCACCCTTTCCCTCCCTCCAGATGGATGGGATTGGACAGGGAAGGTAACAGGCAACACATGGCCTGTAGGAAAGTGATGGTATCCAGCTTGAACTCCATGTGAGCAGCCTCAAAATCCCTGCTAGAACTTGACTTACAGCAACTAGATCCCCAATTTTCAAGCAGTTGACAGGAGTGTCCCTGATCCCTGAGGCAGCAGCTGCCCTCCAGCCTGGGGTAGCTTGGTTTACCCAGAACACATCTTTTTCCTTAAAAAAAAAACCCACCCAGAAGCAGCATTTGCTAAGGAGAGTTAGAAAAATCCCTTATCATGAATCTTTTGACTGTACTTCTCTATCTTTCATCACTGCACACATCACAAAATACATCTCACTGGGGACTGCTGTTCCTGTGCTCTTGATAAATAAGGGTCCTGCCCGGGGTTACCCGTGGGGCTCTGTGCCTGCTGCCAGCCCTGGTGCCGACAGCTTTCAGGGGAATTAATAAATAACAGGCAAGACAGAGGGAAAAGGCTTTTTTGCAACTTCTGCCAACATTTTTTTCCAGTGCTGGCTGCAAAGCCCAGCCCGTGTGTCCTGGGATGAAATGATTTGCTGTGATGGCAGCATCCCTCTGGATGACACTGCAGGCTCTGGTGTAAGGCAGGGATGCTGGCAACTGCACTGTACTAAATATCATTGCAATAATCAAAATTAATCTCCTCCCCCCTGCAGCAGCCTCTCTTCCCTCTCCTCTAGCAGCTGAACAGTCCCCACTGGCTGGCACACCAGTGGTAATTTGCCAACCATGGCACTTCCCCTAAGCACATCACCCCATGGCTGTGCAAAGAGGGAGGAAGGTGCCATGGCATGTGGCAGGCAGGGACAGGAAGGGGACATGGCTGCAGTGTTTAACCACAGTGGATGCTCTTCAAAAAGTTGTTCTCAGGTCTCTAAAGTGACACAATCCTGTCACAGAGTGAGTCAGGTGTTTCTACCAGCCAAGGGTCCAGCTCCCACATATGCAGGTCCCTGCCTGTCAGTGTCCATCTGTCCTTCCCTCACACAGGTGGCAGGAGCAGGGGGGATGCAGGACCTGTTTGCAGGGATGATGGGATGGTCACAGTCCCTCTGGATGCTGCCTCACACCAGGGGTGTCACAGCCCTTCAGCACTCGCAAGCCAGCAACCGAACAATGTGAGCTCAGCTCCTCCAAGGTCTGCTTCCCGCACACAGCCAAGGATTTTGGGGAGGTTTTTCCTTACTGCTTTTGACCTTCCTCAACAGGCTCCTGTAAAAGGTGCTGCTGGAGGGATGCAGGGTCCCACTGCCAGCCCAGCTCACCTCCTTCACCAAGGGCAATGCTGCAGCCCTTGTGGCTCTGAACACTGCACATCTCCCCCATCACAGCAGGGCACCCTGAGCTTCATCCAAGAGCCCAAACCCCAGGAGAAAACCAAAAGGGAAATTGTTCCTCCATCTCTTTGCAATACCAGGGCAGCAACACTGGCAGCTTCCCTCTGCTCTTCTATTTCTAAAGCACGACACACAGACACGTATGAAAAACAGGAGAGGGGGGGAAATAAAAACAAAAAGCAAGGCAGCAGAGCTGTAAAATCCCATGTGGAGATTCCAGCCCTGGAAGGTGCAGCACTGCTCTCCTGCAGAGCATCCCACAGCTCAAGGGAATACTTGGCCCACGGGGACACATTCCTCTGCCAGCACCCAGCCAAGGTAGCTCCAGGCACAGATTACCCTACAAGGGCAGGCGCTGCTCCCTGCTCTGCCGTGCCAGGGAGAGGGATGCCTGCCTCCCCTGCAGGGAACACGGGCAGCTGCAGCAGCTCCTGTGCTCCTGGGGGACTTTCAGGAGGTTCCCTCGTGCCCAGGTGCAGGTGCATGGGGGAAAATGAGGGTGAGCAGCTCCTTTTTGCTGTATGCTAGCAGTTTTTTTGTGTTGGGACATGGAGATTTTTGTCCCTGCAAATTTTGGGCTGTCTCAGATGCAGAGCTGCATCTGCCCCTGGCAGTGATGCACTTGTCACTGCACTGCCACCTCTGCCAGCCACTCTCCTCTGGGAGGATGCTGAAGCCTAAAGCTGATGCCAGCTTTGCACAGAAGTGCCCAAAGCTTCTTCAGTGGTGATGTTCATCCAAGGGGGCAGCAACCTCACCTGCACATCAGCTGCAGTGGCAGGAGACTGCAGGGCACTGTGCTGCCCATGGGAGAGGGAACAGGAACAGGGTGGGGTGGCCACCATCTTACATCTCCTGCAAAATGACCCTGGGGCTGCTGTCCTCACTGGGCACAAGGACAAGCAGCTGCCTAAATGCCAATCTGCCACAAAAGACACCAAGTCAATTCCTGTGCATCCAAACTCCTGATTTTCAGTGGCCCTGCTGCTGTCAAGGCAGGCATGGAGCTGTGTTGCAGAAAACACCTGATTTTGCCCTTGCTTTTACCACAGCACAGGTGAGAAGTGGTGATGCCCAGCACCCAGACAGGGCCTGCTGCTGAACATGCTGAGAACAACCACAGCAGCAACTCCAACACCTGTGAGGGGTTTGCTCTGAGATATTGGACACGAGGAGGTGCAGGGACAGTGCAGGAGGGGAGCAGGGTGGCCTCAGCAGTGGGCTGATGGTGCACAGAGGAACATGAACACTGGGGTTATCTGAGTGTCCTCCCTATATCTGGTGCTTCTTGAGAACCACTTAGCAAAGACACAAAGAGACTTCTGCAAGGTCTTGGCACAGATGCCTGGAAACCTTCCTCCTGCATACCACAGGATTCTGAGAGAACAAACACTTGAATGCATAGAGCATGGAAAATATTAAAGATCCTACAGCAAGAGATCCCTGAGGGTGGTGAGCCCTTGTGAGCCTGAGTGTGTGACAGACCCCTGAGAAGATCTCCATGCTCCTGACCAGAACATGTGCAGCTCACACAAAGCCAGCCTCAGCCATGCACATTCTCTCGCTCTCACATTCACATCACCTCCCAAAACTGAGACAGCAGAAACCTCAGAGGGGCCAGAGAGGAATGAATGCAGCCAGATATGCAAAGGATGTGAGATGAAAGGCTGGATGTGAGCAGAGTGATGGGGGGAGGAATGTAAAGCACTGGGACCACAGTGAGAACTGAAGAGTCTCAGCTTTCTGCCACTTCAAGGACAAGGAAAATCCAGAGTAAAGGAAACACAACTTATCTAAATCTCATCAAAGGAGAAACTTTTCCGTGCAATTCCTGAATCAGCAGAACTCACAGCTATACATTTGCATTCCTCAGCTGAACACCCTTGGAAGGTCCCATGCTGGAGACCATTCCCAAGCACTGTCTTGCAGAGACCAAGTGCTAGCCTGGCTCCTGGCCAAAACTGCCATCAAACAGCTACTTCACAGGCTTGCTAGGCCTTGTTTTGAAGCAAAACACCGAGACCACTGTGGGAAAGGAGATCCTGTCTGGGTAAAGTCTCTTGGCTCTATTATTGTATCTCTTCTCTATATCTAAGCCATGTTCACATTCCAAGCAGATCCCCACCACACACAAGCAAGACTCTGCAGGAAACACAGGGATGCAGCATTCAGGGATGAGACAGGTAAGGAAGCCAACCCTTGCTCTGGAGTCTTGCAGGTATTCAACTGGTGCTCCCTGCTCCACTTGGGTCTTACTGTCCTGAGAATGCCTGGTAAAAAAAAAATCACAAGACCACACATTGCTTTTCAAAGTCCAGAGAAATCAGGAAGATGAAGAGTTTCCATTACTTCTTTCAAGTCTGATGATTTAAGTGTGGTGATTTTGCCACACAGATGTGATAGAAGAGCTGCACGGGAAACTCTGGATCCATGAGACAGAGCAACCTGTGAGCATCAGCAACACTGTGGGGATGAGGGAAGCTCAGAGGACCTTAAACATTGGGAGTGTGCCATGGGAGGAGGAAACTGAGCTGCTGTGCTGCTGTGATGGCACTTGAGAGGATCGTGTGCCTACCAGAAACCTCCCTGTACTTGGAGCTGTGCAGGCAGAGCCAAAGAAAAGCCCTTCCTTCAACTGTGCTGAGATTTTATAGAGAAATACAAAGTGTGGGAGAAAGACAGACTCGGCCTCAGACTACAGATTGTGAAGACCAAGGGCATGCATGGGATGCAACATTAACCAGCTCTCCTACACTCCAGCCCAGTGCCACACTGTAGAATTGTTGCTACAGGCTTGTAATTGTGGGATAAAACAGACCTGGGTGTCTGATGAGAGATGAAACAATTCAATAAAAACAGGCTAGAAACAATTTCTATCTGGTTTGTAAACACAGGAGCCCTGCACCTCTGTTTCTCTGAGCAATTGCTGAGTTTCTGCATCAGCTCAACACAGGTAGAACATCAGCTCAGGCTGACATGAGCACCACCTGCACACCAGGACACACTGATGGGGAGGGAGATCTGTTTGTGACCATTTCCTGACTGCAATACTTTCCCATCCCATGTTTCCAGGTACTTGCAAAGCCCTGCTCCATGAGAAACCAAACACAGCTGTTACAATGCCCCAGAGCCCTCCTGGACAGGGCTGGCCAGACCTGCCTTCAGCCTGGAAAGGCAAGAGTGGCTTTGCACAGATTTTCTGCGTCATTATTACAGGATGAAGGGAAAAAGAGGGGTTTTCTATGACACAGGTTGCCTAAGGGGTGAAAAGATGGTTTGAGCAAGGTGATGGTGTGGAAGGAAATCCAGTCTTCACACTCGGATTGTTCATCCGCCCCCCTGAGCAAGGACAGTACCTTTCCTGCCCTTCTCCCTGCTATCACTGTCAGGACAAGCTCACCCCAAAAAATGAATAAATAAATCCTGTTTTCTGGAGAGGAGCCACCCCTGTGGCAGGCTCAGCACTAGGCAAGCAGCCACTGCTGGGAAACCCGTGGGCTTAACTCAGTGCTGAGATATCCCCCACAGCAACATCTTTTGCAAGAAATGAAAGAAAAGATGATATCATCTCTTTGGAGAGCTGCCCAAAGACATGCTGTGATTTACAGCACGGAGCCCAGGAGCACACGGGAACTGCTGCTCCAGTGTCACAGGAGCTGCTTCTCCTCTGGTTCTGCCAAGGGATGAATCCTGAGAGGGGCTGGCAAGGGCAGTTCCCTTAAAACCAGTTTATAAGGATGGATCAATGATCAATGGATCTTAGCATAGAGGTTGCTAACACAAAATAAGAATGGACAGAGAGGGGTAGAAATCTGAGAGGAAAAAAGAAAGGGTTCCTGCTCCAAATCAGTTTTGCTTCATAAGCAAAAGGATCCAGTTTGTGGAGGTTCAAGATAAACTGAATTAATAACCTGTGGCAGATTTATCTAATGCTCCAGCTCCCAAGGGAGCATTTCAAGCAGATGTAATTACCAACTGCTCTGCCAGGCGTGGCACCAGGAAGGAAGGGAGCAGGAGAAGCCCCTTTGGACAGCAAAGGTGGGTGAACATGCAGGTGCAGACATCTCATGAGCAGAGGAGGTGAATGAGGGGTCACAAAGCCACCAGGAACCCCAAGCAAAGTGCCACCCTAAGCCAGGGGGGTGCAGACCATGCTCACCATCCAGGTGGTTGCGGGAAAGGTACTTGAGTCCTTCATCCAGCAGGATCACAGGCAGGGAGATCTTCATCACAACCACCCACTGCGGCCAGCTCAGGGGCGTCACCTGGAAGATGAGCTGCAGGGTGGAAAGCATTGGACATGTCACTAGGGAGGCAGGTGGGATATTTTGTTGTTTTAAGGATCACATAATTGTTTGGCAAAGGTTGAGAGAGGGTCGTCACAGGTATACAGAGGGAGGATCCAGACAGCCCATACAGGAGGATTTCTTCAAGGTCTGTCATGATCCAAGGTGGGTCTTGGCCAAGATGAGTAAAAAATTATAGTCCTGACCTCTCCTGCAGATGGGGAAAGTGAGGCACAAGGTAGAACTGTGTGTTTATGTGGTCACAGGTGCTTGGCAGGTGACAAGGGACAATGCAACCTCCTGGGTACAGAAACACACTTCATTGTCTTAAGCACCTTTGGGCATCAACCAAGGCATCCCCAGCCTTGCAAAGGAGACAACTCCTAAAGGGTTGAACCACCTTCTGGAGATATCTAGAGCCTTTGCATTGCCCATAGGGAGAGCTTCATACTCCTGGCTCATGGGGCAGAATGACTCCTGTTTTCCATGCTGGGTTGAGCTGTGGGACCTGGCCCTGAGGGCACCTTCTGGGAACAACCATCCCAGAAGTTTTCCAACCCAAAGATTGCTCCAGGGATGTCCTTGTTTGCAGAGGGCACAAGGAGGTGACAGAGGGCACTCACAGGCATGGGCTTGACATAGAGGATGAGGAAGTGCAGAGCCATGGACATGATGATGGCCCCCAGCAGCCAGATGTTGAGCCACGGTGGCATCCGCAGCAGCGACTGGTTCTCAGAGACACTGTGAAAGTGAGGGGACAACGTTAGCCCCAGAAACCTCCCCGCAACTGCCCATGCTGGGAATTTCATTTCCCTCTAACATGCAAGGCCATATGCTATATAGTTTCTTTTCCAGCCTGTTCATCTTCAGGCTTTGCTGCAAACTGGATGTGGATGTGGATACAACCAGCAATGCATGGATTAGGGCCGATCATTAACAACCAAATCACTAATGAATGCAGATCCAGTCCTTCCTTTACTGCTCCCAGCCACAGCACACTGCCTTGGAGGAGTTCCTCTATGGAAAACCCAGTGCATCCCTGTGAGGATGCTCTACAGCTCTGCTGAGCCAAAGCAAAGCCCTCAGCCCGCCCACAGACACTCAAAGAGACAAAATCAGTCACACACAGAGCAAAGAGAGCAGCCCTGTGGCCAGCACACCTGTTCAGAGCATTGCACATTTCGATTGTCACCAGCACAGACAGAGCCATCGTCGTTGGGTATCGCGACTCGAAGATCTCACAGTCAATTCCTTCAAAGATGGGGTTGTCCTCAGTGCACCTCATGAAGTTCCTCTGTCAGCACAGGAAACTGCTGGTAAATACATGGCAGAGCAGCAGGAAAGGCAGGAGAGAGGAGGAAGAGTCGACTGGTTGGGGGACATGTGATGAATTGGGTTGCTGTTAAATATCCCACAGGTCAGAAAACTGCCTGCAGTGACCCAGCTTCTCTTGGGGCTGGGCCCTAGGAGTATGGCTGGACAGTGCCTTTGAGGCTCTCAGGTGCAGTTAGGAAGGAGTTTGAGAACACAGGTGTCTCCATCAGAAACCCATCTTGCATTGCACGTGCCATTGGGATGTGATAGCACCTGCTTTCCCCCTGCCCTGCAGTTTTCACATTAGCTACAATAATGTAATGTGAGAACAGATCCCTTCCAATATGGGATGAGGCACAGAAGCTACTTTCAGCTTCTCTGAATCCTTCTGAATCTGAAACTTTCCCTGCTATGCTGGTGGCTGGCAGAAGCAAGGCTGGAAACAGCCAGAAGGAGAAAATTTCCTTCTGTTTTAAATTACTGTCTTATCCCTAGGAATTTGGGAATGCTACAACCAACACAGAGGAAAGATAGATGAAAGACCCCAATACCCTCACCCATCTGCTCCAGCTGTCAGCCTGTTGCCCTCCTGACTCACCAGCTGGTGGAAGGAGACCTGCGGTCCCTCGGCGTCGTACAGGAACCACCAGGTCGCCGCGCCCACTGTGGCCAGGCCCACGTACACTGCGGCCAAGAGAGACACCTTACCCCAGCACCCAGAGGAACAGCACCCCAGGGCACCCCAGGCACCCTAAGAGTGCCCACCCACCCTGGCAGCACCCACCTCCAACAGCCAGGTAGCGGAAGAAGAGCCAGCCGCTGATGAGGGGCTCCTTGGGGTTGCGGGGCTGCTTGTCCATGATGTCCAGGTCCGGGGGGTTGAAGCCCAGCGCGGTGGCCGGCAGCCCGTCTGTCACCAGGTTCACCCACAGCAGCTGCACAGGGATGAGCGCCTCGGGCAAGCCCAGGATGGCTGTCAGGAAGATACTGCAGGGGGAAAAAAAGAGATATGAAATTAGACAAGCTCTGGGCAGCCACGGTTCTGTGTCATGCAAGGGGGAGAGAGCATCTTGATCCAAAGCCCCAAACCGAATATTCACCCTAAGTCCTGGAGACAAACCCACAGCCCCTGATAAGGAGCCTGAAGCCTAGCACTGAATTTTGCAGCTGAAATTTGTTTCTATTGCTATTAAAATTTGCTTTGCAGTTGTAACCCAACTATTGATGTCCCCAGGCCACAAAGGTTCCCATTCCCAGCACAAACACCCATGCTGAAATGCAAGGGCAAAGCATGCTCAAGTGATCCCAAAGTTGTGCTGATGTTGCTGAGGACTGCAAGGAATGGGTAGGGGCAGGAATAGCCATGACTGGGTGATAGCAGCCTGTGCACAAATATCTGCACCCAGATCAGGCACTTGCATAAGCTTAAACAGGCAATACTTTGACAGAACAGGTCCTGCAGGGTGGCAGGATTGTAAAACTAAAAAAAAAAAATAAATCTCCCTGCCCTTGGGGAATGAGACATGGTGCCTGGGATCACCAGTTCGGGCACTACATGCTGCTGACTGCAGGTCAGCTGTCCCAGGGGATGTGTCCCCCCAGTGCAGCAGGGTGCCCAGTGTGGCTCTCACCAAACGACCTCCCCGACGTTGGAGGAGATGAGATAGCGGATGAACTGCTTCATGTTGCTGTAGATGGCTCTGCCCTCCTCCACGGCCGACACAATGGTGGAGAAGTTGTCATCAGAGAGCACCATCTCAGCAGCTGACTTGGCAACAGCCGTGCCCGACCCCATGGCGATGCCAATCTCTGCCTTCTTCAGGGCCGGAGCGTCATTGACGCCATCACCTGTCTGCACAAAGCCATGGTTATGCATGCAAGGGATTGAGCAGGGTGGGGAGGAGGGGACAGAGGGTGGCAGGGTGTCCCTGAGGGCTCACCATGGCCGTGATCTCGTTGAAGGACTGGAGGTACTCGACGATGCGGGACTTGTGCGCCGGCTCCACGCGCGCGAAGCAGCGAGCCTCGCGGCACGCCTGGCGCTGCGCCTCGGGGGGCAGCTCGTCGAACTCCCGGCCCGTGTAGGCCTTGCCAGACACGTCCTCGGTCTCGGAGAAGATGCCGATCCGGCGGCAGATGGCCACTGCCGTGCCCTTGTTGTCGCCAGTGATCATGATGACGCGGATGCCGGCCTTGCGGCACATCTCGATGGAGGAGGTCACCTCTTTGCGGGGAGGGTCCAGCATCCCCACACAGCCCACGAAGGTCAGGTTGTTCTGGGTGGGAGGAACAGCCCAGACCAACATTAACCCCTTGGGATGCGCCCACTTCCCCCCATGCTGTGAAACCACCCCAGGCTTCACAGGGATTTCCCCTGGGAAGAAACTTCCAAGAGGTTTCCTACCAGCTGCCCCATGGATGCACTCTACAGCCCCAATCCAGTGGGATGCTCCTATCCCTCTGCTCCTCCTCACACATTTCTTCTTTGCTCCCCTCCTCCCCTTCCCTCCCAATGGTCTCCAAGGCCCTCTCAGCAGTCACTCCACAGGAAAACACGCTCAGTGAGACGCGGCTTGTTATCCATCAGATCACCCCCTGAGGTCTGCAGAGATGAGCCATTACACTGCCCACAGAGAAACCAGAGGGGAAATACTGCTGGGACAGCTGGGGGTACGCGGGGAGACTCTGGGAAGAAGGCAGACAGCCCCTGGCCGGGCTGCAGTGCCGTACCTCGTAGTGGACGAAGGCGGCCGAGTCGTGCAGCTGCATGGCGTCCCTGCGGACGGGCGCGTCGTGCGTGGCCAGGGCCAGGCAGCGCAGCGTGTCCATGCCCATGCCCCAGTCCCGGATCCTGCCCAGGATCTTGTCCCTCACTGGGGCGGTCAGCGGGACCTTGGCAGTGCCCACGCGGACGTGGGTGCAGCGCTCGATGACGCTTTCCGGGGCACCCTGCGGGGGAGAGGGGGCTCAGGGGCTGGAGTGGAGCTGGAGGATGGCAGGAGTGCCAGAGCGAGGGAAGGTGCCAAGCCTGGGCAAAGGCAGAGGAAATGTCCCCAAAATTCCAGCACACATCCCGGCCCTGTGGCTCAGGGCACTAGATGGCAGCCTCCGACCGAGCACACGGGATCACACCCAGGCCACCAAGAGCAGGATCTGACTCCTGCAAAACCTACACATCCTCCCGAAATACCCCCACCCCACCCCACAGACCCCTGCTCCGACCTGCAGGGGATGAGGGCTACAAATCTGTGAGGGAAAAAATGTGGGGTACTCAGTGGATGCTTGTGATGCCTCTGCAATTCAGGAAATCATGTCCTTCAGCACCCCTCACCTCAGCCCTTCTGACCTTACAAAGGACCCTGACATTACTCTTTGATATAAAACTTGCAATCCTTCTATTGCACCTCTTAAAAAGCTCGCCCAAGGCCACAGATCCAGAGGCTTCAGAGGGTCCCAGCCTGACCTGGCGGGCAGAGTTCACCCACCCAGATAATCTCCCAGTGGGAACAACAATGTCCAAATCTTCTCAGAGTCAGCAGGGAGAAATTCCACCACATCTCTTCTCTTGGGAAGAAAATGCCCTATGAAACACTATTTTATTTCTGGTTACAGTGGAAAACTGGACATCATCCTTTGGGCATTACTGGCATCTGGAGGGTCCAAGCCTTTAATAAAGGCAAGTGCCCAAATTCTGCACAAGGGCAGCTCTCCCTTGCCCCAGCACCAGCACACTCAGCACCTTTTCCTCCCTCTAAACCATCTCACCCCCTTTGTTCCCTAATCAATATGGCAAAGACTCACCTCCTCCCTGACCCCACCAGCCTACCTCCTGGATCCTGGATCCCCAGGCAGCTCAGAGTTTCCTCCAGAACTGCAGGAAATGCTCTGCAGTTCCTTTCACATTCCCCAGAGTGTGAGAGGAGCTGCAGAGCATCACCACTGCCCTGTGCAGCCAGGGCCAGATGCTGCTGGGTGTGAGGGGAGGTGGACCTGCAGGTGCTTCAGCCCTACCTTGACAAACATCCTGCTGCCAGCAGAGTTGTTGCCAGGCCCCGTGGGAGTGCAGTACACGGACATGGACTTGCGGTCCCGGGAGAACTCCAGGGTGCACTCCTTCCTCATCAGCTGCTTGATCACCTGCAGGAACAGCACTGGGCTGAGCAGGACATGCCAGGGACACTGCTGCTCTCTGCCTTGGCTGACAACCCTGCTGAGCCCTGGGATGGCAGGAGAAAGGCAGCCACAGGAGCCAGGAAAGATGGCACAGGGCTAAAGCTACAAGCTTTCTGTATCAGAAAGGAGTCAGGACATTTATTACACCCTTTTATTACACAGATTTATCCAGGGAAAAATGCCAGAACAGAGAGCTCTCTGAGCAAGGAAAGATCTAAAGCAGAGGAAATACAGACCCAAAATAAAGTGTGTTTTCAGCCAGGAGGACAGGGAGACACTGGAGTAGGGGAATAGCCAGCACAAGACATTTTCATGTCAAAAATAGATGTTTCCCAAGAAGCAAATGTCACTGGGGCAGGCAAGGCTCTGGGGAATAGGGTTTGGTTCATGCTGGAGGGTGACTGCTCAGTGCAAACTGGGCACCTAAAGATAACTCCAAACTTCCTCATCTGCAGCCAGAGCTCGGGCTATCATTTAGAGGGTCTCTCCTGCCTGAGCAGGGACTGAACTGAGCTGGAGCCTCAGGAATCACCTGCTCCAAGGCTCCATGAAGGCTGGTCCTCAAGGCCCTGGCATCAGCCCCCCAGGGCCACTGTTCCAAAAACAGCTCACCACGAGAGCCCAGAAATCACATCCTTGTGCCAAATCAGTCCCTTAGATCACTGCAAGTGTTTATTTGCCCAAATATCAGACATCCTCAACCCCTCCTCTCCCTCCCATCTCCCAGGGGAGTCACAGGGGCCTCTCCCCACTCACTGAGTTGCAGGCGTTGGCTCTCTCCACCTTGGACAGTTTGCTGAGGTCTGTGTTGAAGACGTTCATCTTCTCCACCAGGCACGTCAGGGCTGTTTCAGTGGCTTCCCCCACCTTCTCATAGACTTTTTTGGACTAGAGGGCAGGAAAAAAGAGCTGAAGCTTTAGAGCACATCCTCTACATGCTGCTGCTGTCCCCAGGGATGCTGTCACCCACCACACCAGAGCATCCCCTGGGGACGAGCTGAAGCCAGGGGAGGGGATCCCAAGGGACAAACTCTGCTGGCTTTGCCCTGAAGCACAGCAAGAACAACCCCCCTGCCCACCGTGGCCCTGGTGCCCCCACACCTCATTGTAGTCCAGCGAGGAGTCATTGCAGAGGGCACAGATGGTGGCCAGCTCCACCAGCCCGTCGTACTGCCCGCACTGCACCGGCTGCTCGTCCTTCAGGCTGCAGGCAGAAAACAACCCCAGCTCACACTGCACATTCTGTTAGCTCACCCTGACCATCCCTTCCAGGGGGATATACCTCATTAGATAGGTTGGGAAAGGTTTTTTTGGTTCTGAATTAGACAAACATATAGTATTTGAGTTTGCTGCTTTGGTTAAAGTTACTTAAATATTTGGTTTTGGTTGTTCTATAGGAAAACTTGTTCTATAAGAAGTAATTAAAACTAACTAACATTAGTATATTATTTGATTTTGTTATATTTTTATGAGTTAATTTTTGGTAAAAATTTTTTATATGTATTAATTTAAAAACTTGGTTTTGACTTTAAAATAAAATTTTAGCCTACATATCACTCTTGTAAAAGTGGAAGCAAAAGACCAGTTAAAACACCAGTGCTGGCAATAAATCCTTGGGTTCACATTTTGTACTTTATTAAATGGGGCAGCACTAAATTGCAAGTAAAATATCACAGGAGGCAAATAAATTCTGGAAGTGGCCCAGAATAAGGGGGGGCTGCAGAGAAGTTTAAAGGAGCAAGCAGGGGCTGCTCACAGGCTGATGGTGAAGGTGATGGACCAGAAAAGGGGCAAAGAAATTCATGTTAACATCCACCCCCACAGGGATTTCCATTTGCTTTGAATCCAGAGGAGCTGTGGAACCAACAGCAAGTCTTCTACTCCCTGTGATGTTGCTTCACACTCCAGAGGGAACCCAGGGGAGCATTTAGGAGCAGCAGAGAGCTTTAGCAGCTGCACTGCTGTGACTGCTTCCAAGCAAGTGCTGAACTGTGATCTTTGCTTCCTAAATAGCAGCTCTTTGCTACGGAAAGGAGCAGCCCTGAACACTCCAGGCAAGCCAGATGCTTCTCCTCGCCTGGTGGCAGGAATGGTAGCAGTGGTTTTGAAGAAAATCAAAAATTCTCCTGGTTCCAGCAGAGGTAACTGCAGGTTAGAGCTGTGTAAACCCAGCCGGTCATCTGCTGGCTGGAAAAATAATTTGTCAGGCATTTACTAAGATCAGCTTATTCCACTGTTGGTTCCCAATGGAAAGAACATTTTGGAGCCCTTGTTACAGCTCGGGAGCGGAAAACACAGAGCAGCCAAGAAAATCTGAAAAATCTGTTTGCTGGGGGAGACGAGGCTGCACTGGGCTGTGAGTGGGAAGGGAGATCCACTGCTCCTGCCCAGAGAGGCTGCCTGGCCCTGGGCTCACAGGAAGGGACAGTGGGTGGAGGAGGGAGCTGCAGACACAGCAAGCATGGCTTTTGCAGCATGGGATCCCCTGGATATGGCTGGGAAGGGATGGGAGGTTACAGCCCCATCATCAGCAGTCCCTGCAGGGTCAGACCCATGTGCTGGGAAAAACCTCTCTGCAAAGGTGCTGCTGGCTGGGTGCTGTGTGAGCAAACCCAGGGTCCTGCATGAAATACCCCCCTGCCAAAGCCAGGTTAAAGCAAACAAGCCTTTCAGTGCCACCAGCCCTGGGGAAAGGGGGTTCTCTCTGTGACAACTTGGCAAGCCACCCATCCCTCTTAATACACAATACAGGAACAGGGCTGAAGCAAAACTCAGGAGCAACACAAACTGTTGCAGACCAACACAGTGGCCCTGAATGCAGCCCCCAGAGGCCAGGGGACACTGAGCTTCAGAGGCTGGCAGGCATAAGTGCAGCCCCCAGGTCCTCCTCAATTTTAATTGAAATGCACTGATTGACACCAGCTTATGACTTGGCTCAGTTTTTAATGGAGATTCCTAGCCAAGGATCAAATTGGCTCTATAAATATTCATGAAATTAAGTCTGTGGCTGAGATGAGTTACAGCTGCTCCACGGATGAGCAGAGGGGACCATGCTGACAAATGTGTCTGGGATCACTGAGCAAAGCAAAGGGGAGCAGAGAGTGCTCCCACCACCAGCTGAGCTTCTCATCTGCCTTCTTCCCAGACTTTGCCACACTGGGGGCCACCACCTCCTTGCAAAGGAACAGGAATAAACAAATACAACGGCAGAAAACCCCCCATGTGTGATAACACTTCAGAGATAAGCCCCCAGCTTCCACTCCCTGCCCATGTCTGCCCTGAGACACACCCTGCCACCAGCAGGATCGTGCCCTGGGCACACCAGCCAGGGGAGCCATCCCTGCTGTGGGCACAGGGCTCAGGGAACACTTTCCTTGTGGGGTTTGAGCCATTTGCAGGTCCCCTTGAGCAGTGCTGGTGGCTCCCAGACAAGCTGCCTGCTCTGCATCCTGCTCGGGGCAGGAGCAACAGTCACCAGTCAGTACCCAAAGTGTGCAGGCTCCAGAAACATGGAGAGGCATCTTCTGCTGCAAAAAGCCTCATCCATCACCATTCCCACATTTGTCACCTTCTCTGGTTCACAGGTGGCCTTGTTTTATTGGGATTGCTAACCAAGGGAGAGGCAAGTGTGTGGAAGCCCCTCTGCTGAGCAGTGGGAAGGCAGAGCCAGGGTGAGCAGCACCCAAATCAAGTGGGGCAGGAGCTGGATGTGGGGGACAGGGACACAGCTGCCCTGGTCCCATGAACAGCACAGTACAGTCCATCCCCCAGCACCTGCAAGCCCAGTGGGCACCCCCATGGACAGACCTGCAAACCACCATGGAAACCCCTCCTTTCTCCCCAGCTCCTGGGGACCCCCAGCCCTGGCCATGAACCCCACCCTCCCCTGTTCCCCCAGCTCTGCTGCCAGCCCAGGCCCTCCCTGTGCCCTGGGAAGGGAGGGGACCCTCACTCACATCTGTCCCTCGGGGGCGTAGGTGGAGCCGGTGATGCTGAACTCGTGCAGGCTGCACTGGGTGCCCTCCACCCTCTCCATGATGAACATCTGCCAGGAGGAGAGGTGCAAACACAGCATTAGGCAGCACGTTCTTGGTACAACCCTCGTGCCCAGCCTGGAAACCCCACAGCTGGTACTGTCCCAGTTTTAGCCCTGCTGGCACCAGGCTCAGGCCCAGCCACTACTCCTGGCTGTCTCCAGATCCTTCCAGCTCTCCTCTGCCTTTGTCATGTTCACCTTCTCCAGCTCTTTCTTTCCCTAGGAAATGAGAGATGCTGAGCCTGCTCCTAAGAAGGTGCCTGTGTTTTTCTTGGAGCAGAGAAGGCTCAAGGTTTCCCTCCTGCCCTGGAAAGCCTCTGCAGGGCAGGATCTGAGCAGGGGTGGCTGCCCCTGCCAGCCCTTCCCAGCCAGCTCTCAGCCACCAGCCTTGTGCCTTACTGAGATCACAGCTCAGTAACAAAACCCCAGTGAGCCATAAAAGTCCCCCACACTCTATTTTTAGTGATTTTTGCCTTTCAAAATCATTCCAGTTTTTCTTTTGCTGCTATAATGAGACAAATCCCTCAAACTCTGAAATAAAATTAAAATTCCCCTCTCTCCAAGCTCTCTCAGTCCCACCTTGTCCCCTCCCAGCACAGCCCACCTCTGAGGGCAGCATCCCTGGGAACAAGAGCAGGGCTGACTCCAGCCAAGGAGAGAAGTCAGAGATGCTCATTTCTGCTTCTTGTTATTTATGACCCACACTGAAGCCCAAAAGCAACATAATAAATAAATAAAGAAATAAATAGAAATAAAACTGGTTTGGCAAATGCATTTCCCTGGCTGCAGGGAGAAGCCAGGATTTAATCTGGATGCAGAGAAGTGTTGCTCTCCTCAGCTCCTTGAATTTGTTGAGTGCCTCCAGAAAGCAGGTGCAGGGAAAACTGTTCCACTCCAACCTGTCTCAAAGTAATTGTTTTTTCTCTATTTATTTTCCTCTGGTTATTTGCTCCCCAAGAGAGGGAAGCAACAGATGCTGGAGGAATCAGCAGGCATCACTCAGCACCAGAGATGCAACGGCTCCAGTTACCACCCACTTCTCTGCCTTCCACGTTTCCTCTGGCAACAAACAGAGGTTAACTTGCTATTATTATTAATTATTGTTAATAATACAAGGACACCTCCTCAGTGCAGCCACGCTGGCAGGTGTCAGCCTCCCCCACAGAGGAGGTGTCCCCAGGTATGAGCTTGGGGCCAAGCCAAGCCAAAAAGGGCACATTCAGGGGAGCACACTCCCAGCATGTCCAGCACCAGGACACCCCAGTGGGTTTTCTCACCTCCCTCTTTTACAGGATCAGGCAGATCAAAGGAGCAGGTTCAAAGCATACATTTCCTGTGTGAGTAATTGTGAGCCCAAAACAGCCTCACCATGGCTTCCCAGCTATTTGCAGATACCCATACCAATTAGCCCTATTCTGAGCTAATGCTGATGCCTCAGGCTTCAGCTTTCATATTTTTCAGATTCTGTGCTGCTTTAGTGTGTGGGTCTGAGCTTCATATCAGGGGATGGTGAGCTCTCTGCACAGAGCAGGGAGACAAAACAATTCCTTCTCTAGCTGGGGACCAAGGACAAATGATCCAAATCTCAGCCCAAGAGCACAAACAACATGGGCTGAAGAGGGAACAACAAGCAGGATGGGACTGCATGAGCTAAAGCTGTAACTGGACAATTAACTCTAATATACTAATAGACCAGACTAACCAAAGTGAGAGACACCGGCAGCGCTCGTGCATTTTGGGACCATTTGGGTCCATCCTGGGTGCAGCCCTGGCTGGGCTCTTGTGCTGCCCAAGGTGGATCCATTGAGGAGATCCTTTTAATAAATCCCTGCTTTATTCTGTAGCTCTGTCCAGCCTCTGTTCTAGGTCAGCCTTCACAAGGCATCAGTGCCCTCGGCTCCTTTCCCAGGGCCCATCAGGGAGGCCCAAAAGCATCCCTGAAAGGTTCTGAAGAAAATAATGAGCCAAAGTTCTGCAGAAGGTCCAGGTCCCCAGGAGGCACTGGGTTCCTCTGGCAGTGGGTGTAAACTCAATAAAGAAAGCAAATCCTATTTCCCTTGGTCACAACCCCCCAGAGATGACAGACCCAGAACCTGAGGTAAGGAACCATCACAAGGAACCTTGCAAGGCTAAGCACCCATCATCTTTTTTTGAGACATCCAACGTCATCAGCCTTCCAGAGAGCCAAAATCTCCTGGCCTCTTCAGAAAATGGACTCCTGAAACACCAACCAGACTCATTTATTAAAAAGCTGAAAGCACCCACCCCAGCCACTGATGGGTTTGCCTGATATGGGCCTGTTTGTTTTCAAATGCCCATGGCTACAAAACAATTATTACTTTCACAATAGTGTCTTTCTTATTAAAAAAGGGAAAAGGGAAATAATAAAAAAAAACCCCCAACATTCCAAGCTCTTTCTTTTTCCATGCCTTTTAAAAAAAAAGTGCTACATAACCCACAGCAACCAGAGGTTATATCAAATTTCCTGCTGCTCCCAGCTTGCGTGACTGGCCAAGCATGGGGGCAGCCAGGGCACTGCAGAGGTGTTTGCAGGGTTTTGGTGTGATCAGAGGATCACAGAATGATTTGGGGTGAAAGGGACATTAAAGCTCATCTCATCCCACCCCCTGCCATGGGCATGGAAACCTTCCACCATCCCAGGTTCCTCCAAGCCCCATCCAAGCTGGCCTTGGGCACTTCCAGGGATCCAGGGGCAGCCACAGCTGCTCTGGGCAGCCTGTGCCAGGGCCTCCCCACCCTCACAGGGAAGAATTCCTACCTCAAATCTAATCTAAATCTCTCCTCCTTCAGCTTAAAGCCATTCCCCCTTGTCCTGTTGCTCCAGGCCCTTGTCACAAGTCCCTCTCCAGCTCTCTTGGAGCCCCTCTAGGCACTGCACAGGGCTCTGGGGTCTCCCTGGAGCCTTCTCTGCTCCAGGCTCAACAGCCCAGCTCTCTCAGCCTGTTGGTGTTTTGTCAGATTTCCAGGCTGAGAAGTGGGCAGGTTTGTGGGCAGTGGAAACAGTCCAGAGGAAATAGCTGTGCCTTAAGCAGTTAAGAGCAGAACTAAAGTTTCCATCACAAAAATAATAGAAATAATATTAGGAGGAATAGAAGGAGGTGGGAATGCTGCAGCTCAGCTGGGGCTGCTGACAAGTCAGGCTCACAGAGGGGCTGCTCAACCTTCTGTATTGCACAGAGAACAGCAGCTCCAGCCAAGGGAACACAGCCAGCAGCACCCCTGGGCTTCCCCCTGCCCTGAACCTTTTAAAGTCATGCCAGTGATTTGGGGTTTTAATGCAACAGAGAGGCTGGAAGGAAAATGTAACTACATGCTCACAAAGAAGGCACCCTTTTCCCAAAGGGCTCCAGCATCACTCTTCCTCTCCTGCCCCGTGGATCCTGCCCAGCCTGGTGCTGTATCCCACAGCTGGATGCTGCTGGTGGGTATTTCTAGGGAGAAAAGGGCATTTGTGGATGCAGCATCCCTGGAGAGCACATGGCAGCAGCTGTGGGACTGTGCTGCTGGTGGGTATTTCTAGGGAGAAAAGGGCATTTGTGGATGCAGCATCCCTGGAGCAGCACATGGCAGCAGCTGTAGGGCAGACAGGTGTGAAGGATTTATCTGCACCACTCTGAATTTTCTGTGGTGTCTTTAAAAGAACTACTCGTGCAGACAAGGCAGGATTGCTGTCTGGAATTGTAAGAGCTGTAACCATCAGTGACTATTCCATCAACCAACCCATGCAGGATTTTCCTCCTGCACTGGAAGCAGACCCAGCCAAAAGGCACCCACAACCCTTGGGGACCCCCAGCCAGGTCCCCCAGTAATTAGTGACAGGTTTAGACAGACCACAGTGCTGAGCCAAGGCACAGTGCCCTGGAGACTGCCCCAGGGATGGCAGTTTGCACATCCAGGCTCTGCTACAAGCTTTGTGGGAAATAAACCCCTTTCTGCTCCTGTTCCCCAAAGCACCAGCAGTCCTCTCAGACAGCCAAATATCACCAATCACCTCCTCCCAGACATGGGGTGTCAGCATCTTTTCGCCTCCCCCAAGCCCATCTCTCCACTTTGGGTCCTGATTTTCAAATGCCACCTTCCTGGAAAATTAAGGTAGGCTGCATAAAAGGTTGCTGCAAGTTTTAGCAGAATGATTTAAACATGTGAGAGCAGAGAGAGCTGTGATGCTTCTATGTCCCTTCTCCTCCTGCCTGGCTCCCACTGGTCCCAGCTCCATGGCTATTTAAAGGTTGGGAGGAGGCTGCTCCTGCTTCCTGCCTGCCCTGGGCTGGGGGAGATGGTGATCTCAGAGACCCCCAGGTGACCATACAGGGACACAAACCACAGGTTTACTCGGGGTTACTAAGTGGGTTTGTGGCTTTGGTATTGTAACCTTGGGTGGACTTGAGGACAGAGCAAAAACACCAAAGTCTCAGCCATCCTGGGTGGACAGGATCACAAAGCCCCCAGGAAGTCCCCAGCACAAAGCCCCTCATTTTGGGAGGCTTTGGGGGACACAGAGTCACCCCTGCTGACCACTGGGTGTGTCCTGGCTCAGACAGCACCCTGGCCACGAGACCCCAGCACTGGGAGGGACCCAGAGACACGACACAGCTCTTGAAACCCAGCTGAGGGTTTGAAACCAGACCTGAAGCCTTTCAAGAGTCCCTTCAGTGTCCCAGCAGTGAGACAGTGAGCAGGGCCCGCTCAGCAGCACGCCCTGCAGCCCAGCAGCTACACTCACCCTGTTAATGGGCAGCTTAATGAAATCACACTCAATTAATACGTTTTCCCAGGTTATTGATAGGGTTTTCTGGCTGTTTACCCCATGGCTGAGCTGGCTGTTTGGCACAGGAGCGTGTCCCGGACACAAATATTGAATATTTACCCACCTGCCACTCACAGGGCCCGGCAGCAGCCCCATCCTGCCCACGTCAGCACGGGAATCCCTGCCCATTAAACATTAACTGCCTGGCCCTGTGTCCTGGGGCCAACCCTTCTCCCAGTGTTGTGCCCTGGGAGCCAGGACCCAGCCAAGTGAATAAACAGATATTGGAACAGGATTATGGAGAGACTGGGCTGCAGGATACTTTGACTTTTTAATTGCTCTATTTTTTTTTTTTTGCAAAGTTGCTGAGTTCATTCTGCAGATGACAATTGATGCCAAAACCCTTGTATGCCACTGTCCCACTCTGTCCCTCTCCTTGCCTCAGTACAACCACCCTGACTCTCCTGACTGTGCCACACTGCAGGGGATGGTGGCACTTCCTCCCAAGCTCAAAGAGCAGACCCTCCCGCAAGAAGTGGTTTGGGTCCCTCCTCCTTCTCCTCCTGCAATGGACAGAGCTCAGGACACCCTCAGCACTGGGGTCACCCTGTCCTTGCTTTGCTGCATCACTGGCTCTGAAAATGGGGCTGGTGGGAACCCCCTCCTCACGCAGGACACATGGGCAGTTTGGTCCCTACATTGTTCCAGCCCTGACTTGTTCTGTGTCATTCACAGGGCAGAAATACCAGACATTTCCATCCATCTGCAGTTTGTGCTGAGCTAACCAGTGGCCAAAGCCTGTGGCTGGTTCACAGCACTGTCACAGCTTCCCACCACACTATCTTCGTGTCAGAGAGGAGGGATGTTGGCCAGGTCTTTCTTTTCCCACAGCAACACATTTTCCAAGGTTCTCCTGTAAAAATGACATGCCAAAGGCATGTAAAAAGCTTTCCTGACTCATGGATTAATGGGAAAACTGAGAAGTACTCAGATGGTCCAGGCTTTCTGGCTTTCCTAGCTAGTCACCTCTTCACATGGCCATTTATGTGGGAGCAAAACTCTCTGGCAGATGAGGAGCCTTCAAACTCTTCACCAAACCACCCCAGGGCTCCCTCCATCAGCAATGCTTTTCATGGCTCCAGGCTTTGTAACTTTGCATGGTCCAGGATTTCTCACTGGTTGGGTTAAAAACAGGGGGAAAAGAGCAAGAGAGCAGAGGAGGCTGATTGCATCAGCATCTCCAGGAGCTCTGTCTCAGCGTCACATCCCAGCAGGAAGAAACATTCCCTGGAAAGTGACCCCTGAAATGAGACTGCAGCACAGCACCTCCACAGTGGTGTGCTGGTAAAAGTGAGTTTTCTAATTGCATCCAAGCCAAGAGAAGCCCTGATCCTTACTGACCCCTGGGGAACCTCAGGGCTTCCTATAAACCCTCCTCCCTGCTCACCCCCACACTGCTACCTCAACACAGCTCTGGTGAGGACGCAGAGCCCATCACCACAGGATAGGGTGCTCTCAAGTGTGGGAAAGGGATTTTTAGAGTTCTCAGGGCTGACAGAAGTCCCACACAAAGAGCATCTGTATGCAAACCTTGAGATAAGAAATGCTGGCTTAGAAATGCCATGGAATAGGACATATTGTTGAGAGAGAAATGGAGCAAGAAAAAAGTTTCAAAGGGTGGCCTCACTAATAAGACTAGATACTTTGGAGAAATAGAACTATGAAAGATACATTGTAGTGGGACCCACAAGGGGTAATTTCAGATGATTGGCTTTAAGGCATATACAGCACGATGTGGCCAAGAAATGTTTATAGTGTATTGTAATTAGGAGATAGATACAGGAATGTGTCCTCTGTTGATGGAGTGACAAAACTATTCTTTGTCCCCTTAAAAAGGAAATAAGCCCAGAAGTTTTTCTCCTTGATTAGGTGAAAAGGCATCTCATAGGACCTGGGGGACTTCACCTCAAACTTAAGGATAGCTAACTGGACAGGAGGCAAAAAGTCCGGCCTGAGCAATTTACTAGAAAAAGAAGAGAACAAAGGAACGAAACTCTTTTGTGAGGTGTTTTACCAGGGGCAAGGACTCTTACACCTGGCTCGGATTTTCTCTGTAAAGAGTTTTGTTATTTTGCCTTTTATTAAAACCTTTTTGTTTCCAACACTACCACAGGAGCCATCCTGCTGATTTTATGCCTTCTAAGGCAGCTGAGCTATCTTGGGTGTGAAATAGATCTCCAAGAGCTTATGAGACCTGGCTCGAGGAGACTCATATTTCAGATAGTTGACCTGATTGTGATGGCATGAATTGTAACATCTGTATTGTCTCACCCTTCTCATGAGACTGAAAATAGAATAGAAGTTTTTAAAACAGCTCTCAGTTGCCCCACCTCTGTGTCAGAAAAGGGCTTAACCAACACTTCAGCAGCTCCCCTGCACCTCCTGGCCCCGAGCCCGGCTCTCACCCGGCACACGGACATCTGGTTGGTGGTGAGGGTGCCGGTCTTGTCGGAGCAGATCACCGAGGTGCAGCCCAGGGTCTCCACGGAGGGCAGGCTCCTCACGATGGCGTTCTTCTTGGCCATGCGGCGCGTGCCCAGCGCCAGGCAGGTGGTGATGACGGCCGGGAGGCCCTCGGGGATGGCGGCCACCGCCAGCGCCACCGAAATCTTGAAGTAGTAAATGGCCCCCCGGAACCAGGAGCCGCCGTGCACGGGGTCGCTGAAGTGGCTGATGTTGATGACCCAGACGGCGATGCACACCAGGAAGATCACTTTGGAGAGCTGCTGGCTGAACTCATCCAGCTTCTGCTGCAAGGGTGTCTTCTCAGGCTCGGTCTCCACCATCTGGTTTCGGATCTTCCCGATCTCGGTGTACACCCCCGTCGCGATAACGATCCCCACGGCCTTCCCAGCGGCAATGTTGGTGCCCTGGGAGGGCAGGAAAGGAGAAGAGTGGATATGTGGGCATGAAACACCTTGGTCTGAGCAGGGAGAAGGGTTGCTCTTTGTGAGAGGAGAATGTAAGATCCTGGTTAAGGGGAAAATGGGACATCTTCGGTTTTTATATAAACCCACCCTAAGGAGTAGAGAGCCCTTCCTGAGAGTTGTAACCCCTTGAGGACCTGACTTCTGCCTGAGAAGAACATGAGAAAGGAGGAAACTCAAATTTGCAATAGCTCCAGGCTCAACCACAAACCTCTTCCCCATCCATAATGCATCCTACTTGACGGAAAAAAAAGTGCTCTGAGATTGCCCAAGGTATTTAAAGGCCTTATGTGCCACAGCCCAAATGGAATCCAAATGAAGCGGGTTCTTATTTTTATGGATTTGGGGCTCTTTTTATGGATTCAGGTCTTGTGCATGCACTCCCTTTCTCTGCTCAGGGATCTCCCACATCCACCAGCCTCTGCAGTTTGGAAAACCACAGGAGAGGTGGAATCAGGTGTAAGGGACTTACAGAGAAAAGCATGTTCTTCTTGTCCTGGTTGACAGCCCGGGGATCAGGGATGGGGTCAGCATGTTTGATCACTGACACAGACTCCCCTGCCAAGACAAGAGGGGAGAGATGGACCACCCTTGTTCCCTCTCCAGCCTCAGCTCATCCCTCTTCCAAGCCTGCATCACACAGTGCTCTAGAGCAGCAGTAGGACTTTGCCACCAAACCATCCAAACATCCACCATAGGGATCTCCAACCCCACAAGTCACACAGGAAAGCCCAGGCTTCGTGCTCTGCAGGAAGGACACCCAATCACCAATACATCTCACCTATGCCATGACTTTGAGGACCTGGGAAGGTCCGACCATCATCCAAATCTTGCTCTCCCACCCTTTCCCACCCCAGCCAAGCACTTATCCCTTTTGAGGACCTGGGAAGGTCCGACCATCATCCAAATCTTGCTCTCCCACCCAGCAAAGCACTTATCGCAGCATCAGTTCCAAAACAGGCCTCCAGGAAGACAGCAGAAGGGAGCTGCCTGTGCTGCACGAGGCCCACACGCACCTGTGAGGATGGACTGGTCGACGCGCAGGGTGGTGGAGCGGATCTCGATGATGCGGATGTCTGCTGGCACCTTGTCACCAACTGCAAGGACAAGGACAGCAGCTCTGTCAGCTGGCACTGGCAGCACCCAACACCTCGGGAATGGGGATAGCAAACCCTCAACTGAGGTGCACAATGTGCAGGTGAACAGCACCACCCAGCCTGGAGCAATGAGGGGTGCAGCCCCTGACAAAGGTCCTGCACTGGGATACCTCATTTCTGCATTTACAGCTTTGGGAAAGCTTCATTTTGTCTGTCTGTAATTTGCAAGTCTGTCCCCAGCCAAACCCTGGTGGTGCCCTGCCTGCTGTGCTGCATCCCCTTCCCCACTGTGTCCCTGTCTCTCCTCTTCCTTGCAAACTCCCCCTGCACCCCCATCTTGCCTCTATCCTGCAAAACAACAGAATATCCCCACGTTGAAACAATCTGAGCTTCCTAATACCAGTCTTAACCCTGCTTCAGGTTTCTCTGGGCTGACTGGAAGCTGTTAACAGTGGAAAATCTTCTGTGTCCAACACAAACAACCATCCCTGGCTCTCCTGACATGGCACAGTGGGCACAGGTGAAAGCTGCCCCATCCACTGCCACCCAACACCACCCTCCAAGGCACTAGTGCTTCCTTAAAAAAAAAAAAACAAAACATTTCAAGCTACTTTTCCTGCTGAGTTTCTTCCCTCTGGCTCTTCCCCCTGCTCCCTTATCGGCTGGACACAGCCACGCTCCAAGGCTTTGGAAATACTGAGGCCGAGGGAGCCCTGGCTCCCAGCCCCTCCCATCCCTTACACAACACTGCTGCCTTGGCTGCTAACGATGTTCTCAAATCCCAGACTTTAACGAGTGCTTCCTCCCGGGGCTCATAAACCCCCCCAGAGCAGCAGGAGGGGGCTGGCACTGCTCCACCACCCAGCCAGTTATTCCAGCTGCAGATCCTAACGCTCCAGGATGCAGCAGCAACATCTGCCAGACCCCCCTGCTCCCTGTCACACCTGTCTGGGGGACACCAAGCTGGGGGTGCCAGCACAGACCTCCCCAAAACATCATGCACAGACTCGGACTCTGTTCAAGGGGGCTGGAGCATCTCAGAGAGAGCAAAGAGCTCTTCTTTCCCTGGGAAAGGCAGGGGGACTTGCAAACAGGAGCTAAACCTGCAGAGGAAGACTCCTGCAACATCTGAGGACAGAGAGCCCTGGTGGCACTTGCTCCAGGGTGCAGAGTGCCTTCTAATCCCATGGCACAGAACAGACCTGGGCTGGCCATTAGCCAGGTACTGAACATGTGCTGACCCCGCCAGCACCAGGAGTCTCCCCAGAGAAAGAGAGGAAAACAGGGGGACACTGCCTGGCTGTGGCCACTGGCCCTGCCCGAGCACCACAGGGGTCACAGCAACCAAGGGAGCTCCCAAAGAGATGCTCTGCCTGTGCTTTTTGGGAAAGGCAAAAGCTGCCTGCACCAGGACTCACCTCCATGGCCTTGTCACAAAAGGGCAAAACTCAGCTGGGTTTGAGCAGCCTGCCAACTTCCAACCACCCCCTCCTTGTCTCAGCGTAACAGGTTTCCTGCTCCCTGCTGCCAAATTCATTGCATTTGCACATGCAAACAGCAGCCAGCCCCTCCTGCCGGTGTAGTCACACATCCAGGGCATCACCTGGATGTCCACGGCAGGTTCAAAGCTTTTCCTCCTTGTGTGCTTTCCTATCAGGCACCTGGCAGCACCCTCACAACTTTCCATAACTTCCTAAACCCACAATTTGCTAATAATTTGCAAAACTCCTCCAGAGAGCCCAGCTTTTTCCATTCCAGTCACAATGCTGATTGTGCCATTAAAAAGTAATATTGGGCTGCTGATGGGCAGGCAGTATGCACTTGATTTGGGGAAAGATGGCAGAATTTTATTAATAATTCATTAATCTAATTAACGGCCAGGTCAGCAGCTGGACTGCATTGTCAGAGCTGGTTTGGGAGTGCTGCCAGCTCACCCAGTTGAGGATCTGGCTGGTTTGATCCTCCCTCCATTATTTTTTTATTCATCTTCCAGCTGAATCCCAACTTGAAGACATAAATAACAGCAAGCTGGCTGGGCAGGGGAAGGATTGCAGCATGTTTCCACCAGCAAGGCCACGAGGAGGAAAGGAGAGGATTAGTTTTGCGGCTCTGGGGGTTTACGGCATCATTTTAGGAACAAACAAAACAGAATAATTGGAATGAATCCTCCTCAGCTCTGCTGAGGCAGAGAGCAGACCCCCAGGCAAGCTCTGCTGAATTCACAGCTCCAGCAGAAGGGCTGAGGGGTACAACCCATCCAGAGGCAAAAGCACCCTGCAGCTCAAACCTTCTGCCTGTCACCCCGGATGAGCAGCCCCAGCTCCCAAGGAAGCCTCCCCACAGAGGTGCCTGCAGCAGCACCCAGCACTGGCCCTTCACCCACGCCCTATCTGGGGATGTGTGTGGGAGAGCAGCTTCCAGAAACAGGGAATCTTGGCAGAAAATTAAAAGTTCTCCTAGTTCTTTCAGAAAAAGGGGAAACCCTCCCGAGACACAAAACCTGCGTCAGAAATGGATATTTTTTCTCTTTTCTGCTGTTCTCTACTGCCTGATGCTCAGGGGAAGCCTTGGCAGGCTGAAGAGCTTCAGCTTTGGGGGACCCCCCTGGCCAGTACCATGTCCCCATCCAGTCCCATCCCTGGGGTGCTGGCACCCTACCTGCCACCTCCACGATGTCCCCAGGGACGATGTCGCGGGCGCGGATCCGCTGCACCCCGCTGCGGTCGGCGCGGATCACCTTCCCCATCTCGGGCTCGTACTCCTTCAAGGCCTCGATGGCACTCTCAGCATTTCTCTCCTGCAAGCAGAGAGGAGCAGAGCTGTTGGTGTTAGAGCTGCTGGTGCCAGCAGGCTCCTTCCCCACCCCCTGCAAAGACAGGGAAACCCAAACCCTGGCCCTGGCTTTGGAATCCATTTACACCATGGATGGGACAAGCACCTTCAGCCTCTAGAAAATGATTCCTGCTGGTTTAAACCAACCCTGGACCTTTGGGGTTGATCATCTCATTCTTGGTTTGAGAAGCAGTGTATCCCAAACAACTGTATTTTTCCCCATCCAGCAACCTCACCCGAGATCAAGCTGCAGACAAATAAATGACCTTATAATGAATAGGTAGAAAAGAGGAGCATCACTGGTTGAAGCCATCACTGGCTCATCCCCCAGGAGGGACACAGTGAGGTGAATGGCAGCAGCCACTGTGGCTTTCTTGTAGACAGAGCAAAGACCTTCCCTTGGAAAATGCATTTTGCCCTGGCCAGGAGACAAGCAGTTTTTGCCTGGATAAGTGCAAGATAAGTTCCAACCTGCAAGAATTGCCAAAGACTGAAAGAACTAGCCAAGAGGCAGCCAGCAACTGAGCACATGTGCAGGGGCATGAGGAAGCATGGCCAACATGAAAATTAAACCTTTGTAAAATGAGTTTCCAAGGGCATGAAGTAACCAGACCTTTAGATGAAGGATCTGATCCTCGTGGAGCAGAGACCCGAGGGCAGGCTGTGCCTTACCTGCCACACTCCCACCACAGCGTTGGCAATCAGGATCATGATAATGACAATGGGCTCCACAAACGCCGTCGTGGTCTCCTCCCCTTCTTCAAACCAGGCCAGGATCTGGTGGCAAGGGAAAAGAAGGAGCACAATGTGGTTCAAACCAGAGCAGCAACATCTTAAGAAGGGTGATGGCAACAAGAGCCAAACCACATGTGGTTATTTGCTGGAGAGGGAACAGCCTGGAGGTGGCCAGACCCACATGGCTTGATCATCAAAGAGTGGAATTGCCACATCCCACTGCTGGAGCCTCCAATGCTTCAGCCTGGGAAAAGCTGAAGCATTGGACAAGTAGGGCTGCAGGAAACAGCCATGCAATGCCTGAGTGAGTGTCTGCACCAGGAAAGCCTCTCCCTTTGTGTTCAGTGCTCCTGGGGGGGGGACTGTGGCCATGAACTGGAGAGACCAGGCAGCACTGCAGCCCCTCCTGGGCAGAAGGTCAGTGAAGCAACACAAATAATCAGTGCAGTAAGAGCAGCTCTGCAGAGCAGGGACTGATCTTATGGCTTCCACCACCCTGAGCCCCCCTCTCCATCCCATAAAGGCCTCATTCCATAGTACAAATGAAGCACACACACAAATATTTCCACTCCATTTAACTGCTCATCGACCTGCACTGTGGCAACACAGCAACACCTCTGTGCTCTGTCACAGAGGTACTGGCACAAGGACCTGACCTTTGGCACAGGGTTCCACACCTGCATTCACTTCATTGCATGTTGTTTTGGGATTGTATTAAAGCCCAGCAGGGACCAGCCTTCCCCTTTATCGACCCATAGTTCACATCCTACAGGAAGAGACAGGAGTCTCAGCTTTGCCATCCTGCTGCCAAACATACTGACTTGCACTTAAAAAACCCCCAATTGTTCTCCAGCACCTTGGTGGGAAACATCTCCTCATGCAGAGATGCTCCCAGGGTAGATTGTGGGCAAAACTGAGCTGACAGTTCAGTTCTGGGCACAGCAAACTAGGCTCAGACCATCAGCCTGGAACAGCCCTGTGTAAACAGAAGGCAGCCCAGGGAGCTCTTTGATATCACTTTTGGTGCTTTTTGATCAGCATGACTGAAAAGTCCTCCAGTCCCATCTTTAAGCAGATGCACTGATATTGCCACCATGCCCTAGAAACCACTGCTCTGCTGCTGCATCTCCTTCATCCCACAGGCTCCTGCCCTCCTTTCCTCTTTGGATGTCACCTGAGGCTGTGTGTGCCCCAGAAGGTGCCACCCCAAGCTCTGGGTACTCACAAAGGACAGAAAAGCTGCCATCAAAAGGATGCGGACGAGTAGGTCTTCAAACTGCTCCAGTACCAACTCCCAGAGGGACTTTCCTGGTGGGAAAACATGAAGCCAAGCACAATCAGTGCTCCAAAAAATCCCCAGAAGACAGGCAGACCACTGAGACCCACAGAAACACATCTCTGCTTGCTTCAGGGCTGCTCTGGTGCCCCTTGGCCACGGGCATTGGTGGGGACATGCAGCATTGCAGTGGGGGCTTCTCTCTAAAATGAAATGCTTCCATTTCTGGCACTGCCCTGCTTTCACTGGGTCTGGTTTTTAAAATCCTCTGTGTTTCTATTCACAGAAGTAAGAAGTGTCCTCACCACCACAGGGAAGCTCTACTGTTGGCCCAGCTTTCTCTGGGGTTAAAACCAAGATTAAAAGACCCCAAAGATTCCCTGTCCTTGTCCCCAGCACACTCCTCCCAGACTCAAGGCATGTACTGCCACCTCCAGCCCATGACTTACCTTCTTCTGCAGGGAGCTCTGCGGGTTTTCATCAACAGTCCAAGGAGCACAATACAGCAACAAATTATAAAAATAAAAAGATCATTAGTGATTTGGACCCAGACTAGCAATCCCTTCCCTTATGCCTCACTCATCACCCCAAAATGCATTTTTTTCTGCACGAATTCCCACATCAAGGCAGCTTGTCCTCAAACTTCTCAGTCCAACACCAAGTCAGCAGCCCTGGAAACATAATTTCCCATCTGCAAGTGGCTCCGGCAGCATTTATTCCTACACTCAGTCTGCCTAAAAAAATATTCCTCAGGAGCTGCCCTCTCCAAATCCAAGACACAGAAGTCCAACCATCCCATAAAATGCCCTGCCAGAAACCCAATACAGCCCCACTGGGGACTGTAACTTTCAGACCATATTTCCTATTAATCTGGTGTACTTTACAGCCTGCAATGCTCTAGGAAACAAACCCAAGGGCAATGCTCAGCTGCCCCAAGCTGTCCTGCTGAACCCACCCCAGGGGGTGCAGAGCCTCCATCCACACTGCTCCCAGCCAAACCCAAGCCCAGTCACCTGCAGAACCTGAGAGAAACCCAGGGGCTCCCCAGCACCCACCACAGACTCCCCAGGATTCCCACGTCCCCAGGGGGTGACCATGGCCTTCGCATGCAGCAACAGGTCCCACGACCACTGGACAATGTGATGCCCTAAGATTTGAGCTTTTATATTCTCCATATATTTGTAATCATGCAATTCTTTAGTGTTTAACTCCAAACTCCATATAGAGTGTTAGCTACAGCTTTTCCATTTTGGTCAGACACAACAATTCCTCTCCAGGCCTGGGAATCAAGGACACCTCACTGCCTCAGGCTCTGAGAAATGCAAACAAAAGTGATTTGGGCAGAACAAACTTGGGGTAAATTAATTCATTACCTGAAGCTGTAATTGGAAGATTAATCCCTAATAAGCAAATGGACCAAACCTATAAAAATATCCTCTGACTCGCTGTCCATTTTGGGTGTAGCCCCTGGAGGGCTTCATCTGCCCTGAAGGTCCTTCAATAAATATAAATAAACTGCTTTTTATTATCTTAATTTTGTCTGGCCTCTGTTTTCAGGTAGTACCAAAAAGGCATCAATGCTCAAACTCTGGTACCCTCCAAGGGAATGCCCCTGCTCCTGGGCAGCAAGGGGTGTGCTGGCCCTGCTGGGGCAAGGTTGGGTCCAAGAGTGTAAGGTCCTCACCCAGGGAGGGCTCAGGAGTGACCCCCCTGATTTTGGTGGCTCATGGGTGCTTGTCTCCACTTGCCCCCATTAGAATCCCAGAGTACTTTGGGTTGAAAGGGACCTTAAAGCACATCTTGTTCCACCCCTGCCATGGGCAGGGATACCTTCCACCAGACCAGATTGCTCCAAGCCCCATCCAGCCTGGTCTTGGACACTTCCAGAGATGGGCCAGCCAAAGCTTTTCAGGGTAACCTGTGCCAGGCCCTCCTTATCCTCACAGGGAAGAATTCCTTCCCAATGTCCCATCTAACCATACTCTCTGTCAGTAGGAAGCCATTTCTCTTGTCCTGTCACTCCATTCCTTTTCCAAAGCCCCTCTCCAGCTCTCTTGTTGCCCTTTTAGACACTGGAAGGGGCTCTGAGGTCTCCCCAGAGCCTTCTCCTCTCCCCAGATCTCTCAGGGTACTTCTGCACCCCATGGGGCTGATGAGAAACAGGGGGCAGCTCTGGGTTAATTCTTAGACTCAATGAACTTAGAGGTGTTTTCCACCCTTAACAGTTCTATGACAAAACAAGATGTTTCTCCACTCCTTGTGTTTCTGGGATGGGATAAGAGATCAGGTAAGTCCAGGGGGAACCAACCTGAGGCAGACACTGATGCCCCACCACTGTGGCTGTCTCCAAACACCCCCAGCGTGGAGCCCTAAGTGAAAGCAGGAAGTGAAACCTGCTTGTCTGTTTTCCATCACCTATTTTCATTCAGAGGAGTGAAAAAAAAACCCCAAACCAAACCTACCTTCACTAAACCAACCAGTGAAAACAAGAAGCCTGAATGTGCTCATGCTTCAAACTGTACCAGGTCCTCAGTCCTCACAGACACACCCACCAAGAGCTGTTTTAAACCCACATTCCCCCTGGGTCAGGCTGCTCTGATCCCCTGCCACTGTGAGACACAGACCAGTACACAATGCCTATAATTATTTTTATAGCGTAAAACAAAATTATTCTTGGAGCACCTTTAGTGTTTCAACTCACTCTACAGAGCGTGTCAAGCAAAGTGGCTCTTGTCCTCTCACAGCTAGCTCCTCTCCACCCCCAGCTTCCTCTCCCCAGCCCAGAGAGCCTCCAAAATTAAAAGTAGAAGAGATCTGTTGCTGCTATTTCCATCCAGACTCCACTTTAAAGGGTGCAAGCATGTAAAGTAAGAGGACTGAGGGCAGGCAGGTGCCCTGGGGGAGGCAGCTGGGGCTCCCACAGGTCTTGGCTCAGCCGGGGTGCCCCAGGGTGACTTTCCACCCTGAGCAGCCACCTGGAACACCACGGTGCTCTCAGTGCTTGTCCCACACTGTGTTTGCATGAAGAGTGGCAGCAGCAACATTCACAGAGCTGGGACTTTGCATGAGACCTTGCTGAAGCCCGAGAAGGGGTTTCTGTGAACTCAGGAAACACGTGCCTGGGGCAGGCAGCTGAAACCCTGCGGTGGCACAGTGACACCGCCGTCGCTGTCACCAAACCTCAAAGGCAGCAATGCTGCTGCAAGCACCTTCCAAACCCCCAGGTTTGAGTACAGTGATAACCAGGCAGCTTCTGCTGTCAGTGACTCCTTCTACCACTCTTCAAGTGGCAGCTCAGCACCAAACACCCAGAGAAAAAGGGCAGAAAGTCACAATAAGGCCATATTTTTGGGTGTGAACTGATGAAAACACACAGGAAAACAGAAAAGTTTGCAGCTGGAGCTTCTTCCTGACAAAACTAAAGTCTCACTAGAAATAGGAGGCTTTGCTACTCCCCAAGCCCCAAGTTCTGTGTGAGTCAGCCCCATGGCACCAGCAGTGCTGCCATGTCCCATCCTGCAGGGAAACCCACCACAGGCAGGGAACCAGGAAAATCCCAAATCTCTCATTCCCTGGGGACAACATGGTGAGTGGAAATGGGCTGAAATGGAAACTCCTGGCTGGCACCTGAATAGCCCCTTTCTTTGAAGGGTGGCTCAGCACAGAAATCCAACCCTGGGCACGAGCTCCCATCCAGAACACAAATGCAGTGGCACCACCAAGAGTGGAAAGTGATAATGATGGCTCAGAGAATCCCAACATGGGTCACCCACATGCACCATAAATATCCAGCTTCCCCTGCTGAGAAGTTCCATCACAGGACCTGCAGCTTGTGGACACTTCTGTGGTTCCTCTGCTCCTGCTCTTCTGCATGGCAGCTTTGGAGAGCAGAGCCAAGAAAGTGGAGATATCCCAACAGCTGCTTTTTCCTGTGTGCCAGGTGAGGTTTGCTTACATCAGCAACAGCCACTCATGCAGGGCTGCTTCAAAAGGCACCGGAAAGATAAAATAAACAAGATACAAACCCCCTCCCATGGCAAACACCACTGCTTTGCTGTTCCTGTCATTCCGCAGTGTTCATTCCTGCTCCAGACGTGCCCTGCACTTTGCAAAAGCCCAGAACCCTTTTGGCTGGGGATCCACTGCCCCAAAACTAAGCAAATTCAGTCAAATTAAGCAAATTCGGATGTCACAGGACCATCTCCACTAGCAAAAGAGCACTGTCCCCTCTGGGTTAAGGCACCACCACCACCACCTCTGAGGGCTTTGCCTTGCAGGGACACATCCACAGCCAGGGACTGCTGAGCATCTGCAACTTGCTCTGAGCTTGTCACATCGTGACATCTCTCCTCGCTGTGCCATCACATCTGTGGTGATGTTTGGCCCATACCAGGCTGCCAAATATCCACAGAAGATGCTCTAAGGGTGTGCAAGGAGCCCGGGCACGCTGGGCAGACGTGGGGCTGGCGTCGGGCTATTTTAGCAGGAGGTTAATCTCCAGCTCCTGCCAACTCAAACAGGGCTGGCAGCCCACGGGCTGGCGCCTGCAGCATGGCAGGGCACGGCAATCAGGTGATGAAAAGGTAAATAAACAGCAGTGCCACCCACGAGCACAGGCACAGGCGGCTGCCCCAGGGCTCGGTGACAGCCCCGTGTCCCCAGAGGGGCCCGGCCAAAGCAAACACACACCCGGACAGGGTGGCACTGGGGGTGCTTCAGGGAAATGTTTGAGTTTCTCCTGCTGTAACAGGAGAAAAAAATCCCTGGAGCACATCCCTGCAGCAGCTGGTGTTTCTCCATCCTGCACTGAAGTGCTGCATCCCACTCTGCTTTGGGGGAAGTGAGGAACAAGGTGACACTCTCAGAGGCCAGCACATGGCAAAGCAACCCCTGGTGTACATTCCAGGGTGCAATCCACAACAGCAAACATCCTGAAATTCCATTTTCCCTCACCATTTCAGGAGCTTCCTTTGGATAAAATCAGATTTCCCTCATGGGAAACCCTTCTGCCCCCAAATGATGTGGGAAGAGCATGATGCCCTCTGGGAGAGTAATGATGAGCATCACATCCAGGCCCAGCTTTCTGCTCTAAATAACTTAATTCAAGCTATAATTCTATGTTGTAATCACTTTTTTTTTTTTGTCCTGCCTTTAATATATTTTTTCCTATGCAGGGAAGGGGAAATGGATGTGCAAAATAAGGGATGCATCCAATTCCTTTGGACTTTCCTGACAGGCAGTAAAGTAGTAGTGAAAAGGGCAAGAAAACCCTAAAACAACCCCAGCTGGGAGAGCAGCTCCGGTCCTGTGACATAAAGCAGGAGCCCAGGCAGGGCTGCTCTGGGATCCTTCCACCATCCCACAAGACAGCAGGCAGGATAAACTGTTATTTTAACTGGCTGCCTTTCCCAGGGCCGGCTGCACGGGAAGGATCCCATCCTGCAGGGATGTCTGCTCTGCCTCACCC